TTCATTAACGCTTCCTTTTTTTCTAAGACTAGAACAATTTTCTTTGATTTTGTCTATCCGAAAGAGTTTCACAGAAATCGCTCGTGATGAAAACGATGCGAAAGCATTCTATTTCTTGTGCCAGGCACATGAAAGGACACGAACTGTCAAGAGGATTCGTAAATCTCACATGTACCTTTAGGCTTTCGATGGTTGATTGTCTTTGAATAGCAAATTCTTTCTGCAATCAAACGATAGATTTATCAAACATTTACATTATCTATGACGGGCGACGACCAAAATAAGAGAAAGATAGCACGTCACACGAAAAAACTCTTAATAGAAAATCTAAATTTGGAAGAAAAAACAGAGATGGTACCTTTAGAGCTCAATAGTCAAATATGACAGAATTTCGTACAAAGAAAGAACTGAGTTCTTCACAAGAAATTGAACCTCATACCCTCGAATTTGGACTTCGCTCTCTGATGCTCTGAAACAGAACCACAATGAACTTCAGAGTTAATTAGACCATCACACACTACCAGCAACGCCGAAAGCGATTCAACGGTTGTGTAAACAGAGTATGAAAGATAGTGGATTCAAAGCAATAAACTACAAGCTACTAGTCGCAGTTTTACAAGAGAACAGAATTCAATGACGTGTTGTTTGTCATTTGCCTGCATATATATAGGTATCCGAATGCAGGCAACCGGAAGATATTGTTATCGTTAAAAGAATGTTGTTTTCGAAGGTCCAAAGGATAAAAGAAAGGTAACGTATTGTGGCCTCTGCTGATAAGAAGGAAGTCTTTGACTCACTCAACAGTAAATTTCTCCTTTCTCATCCGGCCAAAAGTTAGTTTAACGTTCGCCAGTGGAAAGAGCGATCGTTGGTATAAATCAACTGAAATCGTTTTTGAAATTTGGGCATCAATATCTTCTTTACCCCAAATTATATTCTTTTATTTGTGAGAAATACTCGCTGATTTTCCTTTCTTCTTTCAACATGAAGCGTTGACGAGAAAGTTAAAGGTTTAATGTGTTCAGAAGTTTTAATGAAAGGAAAAAAAGTCATGATTTTAGGACTAATCATTAAGCCCTTGAGGGCAAAGCTTAAGCCCTCTGTTGTTTGTTGATAACTTTGGTTGTTTGCAAAACCATGCAACTGATCATGAATGGACGCACCTTATAGCTCGCACATGCGCATCACAACTAACCTCTCCCTCTAAAAGACCTAGATAGGCATTAAAGCACATGTTGATCAGCAAAGCCGAATGATGTGAAGAATTCAATTGAGTGCCGACAATTTGGGGCGTCTAAGCACACATGAAACTTGTACATCAATCCTCACGTTAAAATTTGCCTATTCATCGTGGCTAGCTGATTGACAGTCGAACTAACATCCAGCTAAGCATAATAGAATGAATAATATTCGTGTTGACACACACGTGCCTTGGATGTGAAAATTAGATTGAATATGTTTTTATCAAAACTGAATCAATCCAATACTACCCGCGGAGAAGATTACAAATTTTTGTGGAAATATTAGTGGTCAAATGTTATGAACTTACAAATTTCAAGCAAATAAACAGTTTGCAGTAATCAGAGATGAATGCTATGGGAAGAACCTTCAATTACCAACAGCACGAAAACAGGATCGATTGAATTGCTTTTTTCCTACGGTAAACGTTATCAAGAATCCGGACAAAAGCTACCGAGGGAATTAGTCAGATTTCTCTCTTTTAAGTAGTACACGATCCAAGACTCCTCCCAAAATAATCTCCATACCTTAAACTGAACAAACAATAAAAAAAATTGTGCCTGAGGAAACTGTAAATTGTCTTATAACTGGATCAGACAATGGGGGCAATTTGGATGAAACCTGCGAATTCCAACATCCTCATCTTCAGTTCTTCGAGGCCTCGTAACCACCAGCCCTTGCCTTTAGAACGCCTAGACTGTTTATTTTCGTATCGTAATTCTAAGCTTTCTAAATGTATGTTTATTATAAATAAGAACAACACATAAGTTTATTTTAATACACGTTGTGCTACACCACGGATAATCCTGTGAAAATGTATGCTTAGCTTCAGAGTCTTTTGACAGCTTGTAGAGTAGGCGGCCAAATTTACTTGGGATCGATCCATTGTTTCTATGTTATTTCTCGACCATGAAGGAATCTAGAAGGAATCGAAAAAATCTAGTTACCGATTTAATTTTGACAAAAAAGAGCAATTAAAAAGCATTAATGCGGCATCGGATAGAGGCTCTAATCAGTTCTTTGGAGTGCATCTAGTCAGAGCTTAATCTAAATACTCGAGTGAAAGAGCTTAAGCTTCCCAGCGATCATTTCAACCAGTAAGATCTTGATACGACTATTTTCACCTACAAAAGACCACATTCCTTCTTCAAAAAGGGAAGCTTTAGTATTAAGTAAGCGTATCAGTTACCTCACGATCTACTTAATCTGCTGCTGATTGACTTGCTTGTTCAGTTGAACAAGGATCCCACCAGATTATTTAGAATATTTTTGATACAAAGTTAGGCTCAGAAATGAACTGACTTAACTCCCTTAACACATCAAGGAGCCATGAAGGATGACAGTGGACTGAGCACAACATTAGTACCTCACCAAAGCCAAACACGCATTCACTTCATTGGCACATAGGTCAAACTCCGTCCCGGAATAAACGTAACAGAATCATTGGCAATGGATTATCATCCATTGTATGCAATGAATACTTACACTAGGGTTTGTTCAGAAATGGATAAAAAAGTCAAGAAAGACGAAAAAGAAAAGAGATTATATATATGTATCAAGAGCATAGTTTAGATTGGATAGTATTCACTTATCTCTAGGTGCTGGTTTTGTAACCAATAAGTTATCTCTAGCAAGAACAAGAATATGAGAGAAGGTTAAATATGCATTGCATACCTGCCATTATAAACTATCCCATTTTGACGTAAACGAGCATTTTAACGACTTTAATTAAAATTCTAGTCCAAGACAATAAGTTCAAGTTTTTTAGAGCATAATTTTTTTTGTTAAGGAATGCACGCCCAGTTCATCAAACACGAGTCACTAAAGTGGCAAGACCTCAAATATCGAAATGATTAAAAAATCGTGATCTTAGGAAATGACTCTTCCTAAATTGACGTGAGAACGATAAAGTTTGTTTAACACAATGAAATTAAAGGATTAGAGGTTCTGGAGAAATGCATTCAGGAAAGAGAAAAAATCTTCCATGTGTCAGAAAGGAGAAAGATCTTCATATTAGGGAATCTGTTTATGCCTCGGGGTAAAACGAAGGGATGGGAATTGTAAGCACACGTTCAGTTAAAACAATTAAAACTTAAAATTCCTGCTCACCACGTAACTGTCAATTTTTGTTTGAAATTAGTATAGTTTTGAAAGGCATTTGTCAGATTTGTCAATCATTTCTTGACGGATTTGTCTCATATTAAGTGCTTCATGGATTCTATTTTCTGGTCAGGGAAGGCTCAGTCATTTAGCTGTAACACACGAGGGTTATCACGGTTGAGTTGACGTCGCACGTTTATCGAAAGTCGAACTTGCCTATGAACATCTCCAACAGAATTGCGTCTGAGCCTGTTGTGTTATTTTCGTCTTCTAACAACCCGAAGAGTGTCGACAGCTCAGTGAATTGCATGCAATAATATTTCAATTAAAGACCATAATGGATCTCAAGCAGGTCGCCTCCCAGGCGCCCTGAGAATAATGCTGTGGAGTGACAGCTTGGGACATTACGAGCACAAATTTGGCAACCTTCGTGTGTCTAATTTGAGCTGCTAAGATTGATGCATACCGTGCGTCTTCAATAGATAATAATCAGTGCTATTCATTTCTTTAGAAAAACAATTTTCGCTAATATCCTGCTAATGAAAGATGCACTGCTGTCTGCATTACAGAAGAATTTTGGTTCCCACAACGAACAATGAACCTAACTGTCACATCACATTCGTCATTGTAACATTCGTAAATCAGTTATGTAACAACGCAACAGCTCCCTACCTAAAGGGAGCTGCTAGGATCCAAAACGTCTTCGTTGCGGTTGTCTGGCTTTTCCCCTATTCCCCAATTAGTGTAATGAGAGTATACACTAGAATTTTGTTAAGAATATTTCTAATTGATGAGATAGTAGATAAGATAAGGTCGGTTTGGCGTTAATTGCGGGTCTGGTTCCCACAACGGCTTATGTCCGAAGAAAAATTCTCACGGTAAATGTCTCTTATTAAGGACGTTTGTGCGGTCAAATGTCATCTATTGTGGCCTCATTGCCAGCTTTGAAGCTTTGCCAGTACGGAAAAATCTTGTTATGTTCAAAACTTCCTCTGACGTGAAATAATTCTTTAAACAGATGGCCTGAGTTGTCGGAAGTCATCTTACAGTTTTATACATTCTAAAGACAATACTAACAACAGCGCGTGTCCTCTAGTGTATAGATTAAATCAAGTCGTAGAAAAATAAACTACTAGTTTTCAAAGTGACCATCTGAGGAATTCTGCTACTTATATCATCAACAATGATTAACCGTGAAAATTTTGACCACGATGGTCTCTTATGAGTCATTATCTGTTCGAAAAACCGCATGCATCGAAAGACAATATTTTGCTTCGGAAAAATAGGAAAAGTACATTGTAATGATCTTGTTAGCCAAATTTAGAGGCGACATATGACAGCGTTGAGGATATTAGATGTCTCGTCAGTGGGACTCCGAGCCGTGTCTTTTCCAATTGCGTTTTAGTTTTCTGTCTTACCAGTCGATCACTTCAAGTTGATTAATCCGAGGGGTGTGTCATTAAAAAGGTTGTCATCTTGTGTGGTCCACCCCACATAGGTAAACATGATCTCAATCGAACAGGCCACATATACCAGGTGGCATCGAACTAAGGAAGATCAGAACGCTGTGCACCAGGATAGGCGTCGATTTCATTCTTCAGCGCGTGCCTCTAAGAGTGAAAGCTGTCACGGTCATTAACTCGATACAATTTGTTTCATAGGCTTAAGATATACGTTCATATCTTCAACGCATCATGAGAGCGGAGCAGATTCTTCCTCAAATGAGCCTGTTGGTTCTTCTTTTGATGTTCGACAACGAAGGACATTCAAGATTGGCAGAAGGCAAAACTCTCCAGAAGGTGAGTAGCTTTACATGCTTTTGGAATCAAGATAGGCTGCACTTGGTGTTATTACCAGTGAAATGTCCTAAAAGCGAACAAATCTTAAGAAATCCGCCGAAATGGTTGAACGATGCCATCGCAACGTGGCAACGGACTACCGCGCAACAACTCTGCACGCAAACACCGATCAGCAGGGGCAGTAAATTTCTTTTGTAAGTCAGCCAATTTAAAAACCTTTGAAGTGGCTTTAACTTGATTGAAATAGTTTATCTATAGCGAAGGACCGACTCTAGAATTACCTGGTATTTTAAAGGATAATCATGCTGAATCTCTCTTATTTGTCACGTGTATCATGAAGAGGCTACGCGGCTTAAAATGACGGAAACATTCCATCACCTGAAGCTTTTCAAGTGTAAGGAATGCCTTCTCAATCTGGCACTCTACTTGCACCTTTATTTTTCAAAAACAATGAAAAAATTTCATACACCCCTTTTTCTCTTTCATATTTCCTTAAAAACAAAAAAACTTACCATGTTTTAATCAGCTTTTGAGGTGAATTGTACAGCTTATCCGTCGAGAACTTTCTTGCAAGATGAAGACTTTTTTGATCTGCAAAATGAAATCAACTTCTAGTTTATTCTGTAATCAAACTAATGGACCGTGATCTTTGGAGATGAAACAAATTGTGAATTTAAGGGAGAGATTTAGGGCCTTTTATTTTTCGGTCTGAGACGGTAAAGAAAAGAGATGAAATCTGCTGGTACGATCATGGTAAGCTTTCCATTTGTGCGCCTAAGATTGTGCTTGAAACAAAGTGGACAGTGTGACGTAGAACAAGAAACAATGCAATTGTAATGTTTATCAAGAGGCTTTGCGAAATCCACATGTACAGTGGCAAAATGCTCCCATTGTGTCAAAATCGCCAAGTTACATAAATAACAGATTTTTAAAGCAATGATCGCAATTCGGTTCGGATCTCACCACATCAGAGCAGATGGCTCTAAAACTGGCATTTTACTTCGAGGTAGGGAGTTTTCTAGCAGCACATGGGGGACAAAACGAGCATTTTAGGGTTTTAATGGAAACCACATGTGTGGGGAGCATTTTGAGATTACGAATTGCTTTATCAGAACCGCAAATCTTCCAGGCGTGATGTCTTGTTTGAATTAAGACAAGCGATGCTATTTTCTCTTTACCCTATAAATAAGCATCGACTGATGGTTTCAGCTGAGGCCTTCAAATGTTAAAATAACTCTTTCGAGAGAGTAAGGATTGAGGAATTGTTTATAATGTGAAGAGGCCGTTCGTCATTCGCTCCTCCTAACAAAGATAACAAGATGTCTTGCCACGCCACATCAGGAGAACTCACGTATCGGATGGCCTTTAAACCACGCACGTACCTCGGTCATCGAGCGCTCCATTTCGTGCGCCCTTCCCACGTATCACATGATTCACTATTAGTTCCTAATGAATGATGGTTTTGCCTTCGAATCGGACTAATCTGTTGGTATTTCGCAACAATAACTCTGTGCCTTTTTATCATCTTCAACGTCTTTTGTAAAATATCACAGTTCTCCCCTTTTAAACTGGTAAAATGAATTGAATCATCAAGGTTATCTATGGACACACAGGTTGCCATTCACTGTCTCTTAAATTGCGTGGTCCGTGCATGACCCTTTTTACCTGGCTCATCAATTACAATCCACATTTTTTGTAGTGAAGATAAACTTATGTCTAAAATAGTGACGAAGAGGTTTAATGAAAAGCCAGAACACCTTGGAAGGTCACAAGAGGCCTTAACGGATTTAGCTATACATAATTTGTGTATGTTGAAGGTGCAGCCAAGAATTTTAAAGCTTGTCTTTTGTAATCCATGTCAAAATTCAGTCCGGCCCTCACTAGCCTTGTTCCCTTTTAATCCACATACATCGCTTAAGTGTTTCTCTACTTTTGCAAACTGATATTTGAGGATTACTCAAAATTAGCGTTAAATTTCGAGCAATCACAAATAACTAAAAAAGGAAAAAAAAAATGGTAAGAACACGAAAAACAGAGTCCTCGGGAAGTTAGGCAATCAGCCAGAACTTGTGACAGTGAGGAACAGAGAAAATTATTTGAAACGCACAAAACTTTTTCCATTCTCATTTTTGATGAGGATTTTCCATTTATTTCTTAATTGAGGCAACGTTAAGGCCGCCGTATTCTGCGCCTACAAGGACAATGCATTTCCTCCGTACAACAATAAACACCATGCTAGGCAGGGAATTTGTGAATACTGGTATGTTGTCTTGGTGGCTGAATTTAGATTTCTCTTCTCGACTTAAAACAGTGAGAATAAAAACAAAAAAAGATAAAATGAATTAAGGTGCATAAGTTTGTAACGTTCGCTTTATCCACAATGTTTCAAAATATTTCATTGCATGTAAAAATGTTTTTCTTCCGTTTTTATCCTTTTTGGAAGAAAAAACGCCATAGGGCAGAAATCAATATCAAATTCTTTGCTGGGAAGTGCATACTTACCCACATTTTCCCAGCACGACTCAAAGCCTGTTCGCGGTCATCCAAAACTCTAGTTAAATTTGTGAGAACATCCCCGAATAGTGGTGACAGTTAAATTTAGAAGGATGTTTACGCTTCACAACCTTAAACTAGTCCTTTAAGCGGCCAAGGTCACTTTTGTACCTGAGTCAAATGACAAACACGAAATCAAATAATTTCCGTGAATCATTGAGTATTTAGTCTCTGCGATGAGATAGTTCGGAAACAAAACGGGTTTCTTGTCGCCAAGCTGAGCTCAAAGTAAGTGCAAAAGGTTATAATTTTGTGCTGGATGGCTGACAGCGACATCGAAAGGATTCCTGCTGAGAAAATGAATGAATAAAGATAAGCGTTAGAAATTTTTAAATCGTAATCAGCGGGTTCCAATTCAAAAGACAAAGATGGGGATATTTGTGGTCATAACTCATTCAGACCTAGCATGGAGACGATGACACCTTTTCATTCACAAGTTTAGAGTTCCTAATTCCAAGTTTGTTCATTTATCAATGCTTAGTGCGCCCATGGTGTTAATTCATCAATTTGTTCTCAATTTGGAAACTTTGATTCAATTTGCTATTGTTGTGAGTGACCTTTCTTCACTCTCCTACGGCCATCTCGAAGGATCTGTTACTTGAAAATACTTCTACATTAAAAACTTATTTTAAAACTACAACTTTCAGAAGTGAAATGGTAGTGTTGCAGAAGGCTGGTGAGTTCTGTCGGCCTTTCGCGAAGATTTAAACCAAATACTTTTCTTTGATTAATAGCATTTGGCGAGACACTTCCCCCCAAGCAAGATTGATCGCCAGAGAAGTTGGTCATTTAATCAACATCTGAAAAAGTGTCCCACATTTATCAGTAGCTTATTGCTAAGACCTGGTTGCTCCCCACATAGAATATTGGCGACCATTTAAACCAAATTATGTCATGTTTTCTTGCTCATTATCGCTATTACGGAAATTAGATCAGAAACGCGATACATTCGTCAATGGCTGTATCTGTGGATTACTGCTTTCGGTCGGATAACATTTTTGGGGCGGACGTATTTATCCGCGTTGTCTCTCACGTTACCATTTAAGAATTTTGAGCGTGCAGTTGCAAGTTTTTCTCCCCAGAACCGTGAAAGAGGAATTTTGTTGTAGAGCCATGAATGCCCTGGTCAACTTCATCTCTCAGACTTTGCATTGCAATGCGTGCGTGAGGTTTAACACTTGCTCCATGAAACATGTGCATGTAATTTGCCTGTAAGACAGGAAGTCATCCTTGTACAAACACTTTCGAGTATTTCCTGTTTTTTGCTTTCGTGTCTCGAATCACCTGAAGATACGACAAACTGCAAAGTGACAGTTCATTTGTATTTTTTGCAGACAATAGGGGATCCCTTCCGCTGAAGGAAAGGAAGTTCTTAAGTTAATAATTTATCACGTAATTCTTGCCTATGTACTCTGATGTTATATTTTAAATCAGCCGTACCATTCAGAAGGATAGGATCAATTCATTATTATTTCCGTGTAAAACTCCACTTCTTTTCATTAGCTTCTGATAAGGCATCAGAAGTTTTACTCTGACATTAAGTCGCTTACGAAAACACAAAACATAATGGCTGGGACACAACCCCTATCGCCAAAGTCTATTACGGAAACCACGCCGCCAACATTTTTAGATAATTGGGTTTGTTATTATCAGCGAAGTTCAAACAAACACAAGTCGTTGATTATCACAGACTTCCCCACATCCGTTTAATTTCATTTGGCTATCCTAGTGTAAGGGCAAATATAACCATGCGAAGTAACACGCATTTTAAAACAATTTAGGATATTAGAGCCATTGAACTAACACTTTCGTTTAGTTCAACTGTCAACGCTTTTTAAGGGTCAACTCTAGAAGAAAGACACCTCCCAATAAAAGCAGACATATGAAGTCGTCTTTGCCCTCAGAATACTTCACTAATCTTCTCTTTGTAGATGTTCTTCAGAAAAACAGTCGGTTGCATCTTCTTACACTGCTATTTCCTAAGATAATAGGATTTCTAGTCGTATATGCTCCAGAAAGCTATCTTCCTCAGATCGGATAACTCACCAAGGAGGCACCATTATAAAGTCCATTATTTTACAATATCCCATTGCTTTTCTACCAAACAAAAGGCGAAGACAAACTCTGCAAAGAAAAACAAACAAACTAACAAAACTCCCAGACACGTGCACTTTGAGAAGTTTCTTGAAAGACAAGCACGTTACGTAACGTGATTCGTTTGGTATCTTGAAAAGCGTAGTTAGTGTGAAACCTGTAGGAACGGAAACCACAGTGACAGAATAGTTTTAGATGCTTGTAGTACTTATAATTTGGCTGGGAATTCAGGCTTTACACTGAATAAACAATGTAGACCAGTACGTATTGGTTTCATGAGGTCAGACCTTAACTGAGATTTCCAAATTTAAATAAAGAAAATTTGGTGAAATGGGCAATAATGCCTACGTAGATGAATGAGGTTCTCGACCACGGCTTGGATTTTGACGCACAACAATTGAGTTTCTCACTGGCCGCGGTAGGACAACAAACATGGAGCTTGAAATGACACTAAGTCATTTAAAAATATGCTGTAAAAAACGATTTTCATATATGTTTTGAAAGCCTTAGATTTCACGATAGCAATCACGTAGGGTTCAAGGACAGAGGTTAGGCTATCCTTTTTGAAGCTTTCTCACGATAAAGCAGAGCCTTTAACTTTTGATAATGTGGCTCCATCAACTGACTTGATAATGTAAATTGGTCACCGTAAAGAGTTCTTAAAAACTCTCGTTTCGAGCGTTAGCCCTTCGTTTAAGCGAATACTCCCAAGCCCCCGACGCAGCACCACAGTTTATTTAGAAACTTACTCCTTTCATAACTCTTGGTTAACATGGGTTTTTCTCGATAACTGAAGTACATATCAAAGATCTCCTCTTCAAATGACTAACATTGAGAAGATTTTTATATTTGCGATGTTTCCGAGTTGAGTCATTTTAGTGCCAGAGAGAACTTGATCGGTCTTTAACTGTCGAATAACACCTTTCATTAACCGCAAGCAAACGAAGTTTGCTGAAGGATGGGGAAAAAAATACGTATTGCAGATGACAAACTGTAGCGAAAAATAATTCAAAATTTTCAAGAAGGACAGTTGTTACCTTTTCGATCGAATTCTGCTTTTATCATTTTAAACGTTGTTGTATAATCACCGATATAAATGTATCATTTTCCATGATTTAGTGTGTAGACAGTAGCTACTTAATGAGATGTCAGTCAAAGACGATTATAAAAATGTAGACTTTACTGAAAGGTGTTCAAAGCGTAAACCGGCGTCGAAGATAAATCCTTCCTCACTGATCAGTGCATGTTTTGCTTTATTTTTCAGTTTGCTCATGACAAAAAAGGTAAGTTCAATAGTTCACATCAAACGGCATACGTGTAAAATCTCATATATCATGTTGTTATTTTTCTTTATGAAAATTATTTTGCAGTAATGTCCATTAGCCGGCTTTTAATTGAGGTCACTTCACTTACACGGAAAACGAAACAGGATAAAAGTAGTCAAAGACAGTCTTTGTCGGATTTTTTTAAGTTAGTGTGCCTGTGTGCGAACAGTGAACTTCGAAAACAACTGGATCATCAACCACGAGAACTTGAAAAGCGTCCGGATAGAACAACGCAAGTATGATGCCCAAGGCAGTCCTAAAAAAAAATAATAATAAAAAACAAAAACAAAAACAAACAATAATTCCTGAAAATTGAATTTCTGCTTACGGACCCCATCGCTCTTGGCTTTACTTCACATTGCGATAATGCGGATTCATTAGATTTCTAAAGAAGATTAAGAGATGACTAATTTGGTTTCCTGATTCGAACAAGATCAATTGCATGTGCTACGCAAAGTAAGTTAAGCTTAATGATCAGCTGTGATTTTAAAGATTTCAGCTAAAGTTTTCACAAAAAAAAACCCTTACAACGCCAAACATCATGCATTCAATCAGCGAATCTTGCATCCAACGAAACTTCTTCTTGAGGTGCTGATTTTGAAGTAAAGAGTTTCTTATTTCTTCACAATTGTGAACATTAATACTCATGTAATCTTTCTCATTTCCTGGCCTAACCTGGGATCATTTTAGATGCTACAAAGCCATATCATTATAGGTATTTTTAATTTATTTCAACTATGTTAGCAGAAGTCCTCTCTCTACTCGCAATTCATGTGCCCACAATCGGCCCCGTCTCATTTGTAGTGACCTCTTCCCATTCCGCATAAAAATCCCACGATTTGACCCCAGATCATTTGTGGTCTACCTTATATCAGCATATGTCTGTCAATTTATCTCAACCCTTAAGAGCTGATGAGTAATTTGGGCTGATATTGTTAAGCAAACAACACGGATTCATCCAAGGTCCAAGAATTGTGGACATTTTTTCACTCCGGTCAAATTCTTCCATGTCCGGTTAAATGTTTGTTTTACGACGGTCTCAGAAAAGTTCAAATGAACATCGCAGTTTGTCAACTCACTGCAAAAAATGACTAGCTAGTTCTGTCCAATAGAAATTCATTCGATTTATAAATCTTTCAGTGGAATTTTGTCCAGTTCTTTTTGTTCTTGGCGGTGGCGGGGAATGAGAGAAATGGAAGGTACAAAAATATAAGAACTAACGATTCAAATAAGAAAGAAACGTTTTTCAATCAAAGAAAAAACAAATTGCTTTCATTTTATTGCCTCGCAAAAAGGTACGTCTAAAGTGAAGAAGACTCGTAACATCACGCACTTTCTCGGTACGATAGAAAAATCGGAAGGGACAAGAAATCCGATAACAGGCGATAAAATTGGAAAACTCCATTTGAAGTCCTTTTTAAGTGCCTTAACTGTGTAATAACCTCTTTTTAAAGGAAAAATGTGACTCTTTGCCCTCTATCGGCAGAGAAGTTGATTATCAATTGATTCATTTCTAGGATCTCCCCCGACATTTATCAAGTCCCTCAAGAGCAAAACGATCCGAGAAGGCAAAGGTCTGTCCCTTACTTGTAGTGTAACAGGGAAACCCAAGCCTCGTATAAAATGGAAGAAAGATGGCCGGACCATTCTAACCGATGATAGAATTACGATTCGAAACATGCATAAACTGAGGATCAAAAATGCGGGTCCTCAGGATAGTGGTATCTATCATTGTTTCGCCAAGAACCGTCATGGACAGTCTAACAGTGAAAAAGCAAAGGTGACAGTCCTAAGGTGTGTTGATAATGAAAAAAAAGCCCAGCAATTTCAATTTTGCATGCAATTTGGCATTTTATTCTTTGTCTTTTGGCATGCCCCTTGACATGCATAAAAGCTATCAATTTGGCACACGACTCGGTGTGCAGTTTAACATGCAATTTGGTATGGCCTTTGACACGCATTAAGTCCTGAATAATTTGATCTAATCACTCACTTGGGTTGGTTTTTATTCATCAATAACGATCCAAAGTAAAAAACAAGCATTGGTATTAATCGGTAAGGAAGAAATGGTATGAACGGTCGAGAGGTTCCTGGAGGGTAAGGCATTCTTCCACGCAGGGGGAGGGGGTGAGCGTTGAAGGATTTTCATCCTTAAAAATAATTTTAAATCAAATTCAAAATTGAGTAAGATCTGTTCCGACAGAAGTCTGTTTGAATAACAGCACCCTTACATATTACTTGGTCAAGAACTCAATCTCGGACCATGCGTACATCATTAGCACTTCTGTTAAGAACGTCCCTTAAAATGCAAAGTATGCTGCGATTAAAAAGAGAGAAAAACATCCAGTCTGTGCCCTTTGATCTGCGAGAACTGGCCAAACATCTTTTTTTTTTCTTTTTTTTTTAAGTGATGGGACATGCAAGCCATACAACGGAACCATTTGCTCAAGATACATCTCCAAGGATACAAAAGTGTTTGTTCAACAACTCAGACCACAGCGTGAATCGGAAAAGAAAATTATTCATGCAGCTTCAGTCCTAACAGGCTACATGAGTACTCAATGCAAAGATTCGCTTCTGAGAGCCCTCTGTTACAACCTCTTTGCACCGTGCCAAGGCGGAAAGCATAGGAGATCTCCGAGACGCCTTTGCAAGGACGATTGTGAAGTTATTCAAGGCAGGGCCTGTTCAAAAGAAATAAAGTTGCTTAACGAAAGGCTTGGCGGAAATGCCGATGAAATTATTCCAAACTGTTCCTCGTTGCCGTTTCAGAGCACAGTTGAAGCAAAGAATTGTTTACCGATACGTAAGTGTTCAATAATGCTAAGTGAGTAATTCACAACTCTTTTCAATCTTATAAGTCGATAATTTTTACAGATTTTATTTTTGAATCTTAGATTTCTTTGTGATTTTAGTTACAGGGCCGTTTTGATAATAGTTCTTTTTAATAGAATTGATAGGTTATCCTGTATAAATATTCGCCTTATTATTATTATTATTATTATTATTATTATTATCATTATCATAATGTGCTATTGTGTTGAAGAAAGAGTGGCGAATAACTCTGTGGGTGTACTTAACAAGAAGCATGCTGTTTAGGTTAACGGTTCTTTGAGGTTTGTTATGTAACATTTTAACTTCTGTGTTTTATTTTTATTGTCAAGGAAACAAAATGCAAACGTGTGAGACGTCCAAAGGTGAGACAAAAGAAAAATCGAATCATTATAACTACTTTTTTGTAAGAAAAAATATATACACGATATGTTGATTGCTGAAGTGATGGGTGAAGAAGAGAGAGTTACAAACATTTGAACATCAACAAAGAGGCATATATCTGTAAGCGAAATCAAAGTGACGATGTACATTTTTCGTACGGTTTCCGAATCGTTTTCGAAATTTTCACGAGGAATCCTAAACGTGAACAAAGGTTACTAGTAATGATGTAAAATTTGAAAGGAAAAAAAAAACTTTGAAATATTTCTTTATCATGCAGATCCATTTCAAGCAAACATCAAGCCATTAAAAAGGACCTTTTCGATATGCAGTAAAAGATTTAGCCGGATCGATAAAATTTACAACAAAGAGGTACTCAGTCTCGTGAAAAACGTGAAGGCAGAGCTGCACAATGGTAACATGGCGCTAGAATCACAGTCTATGGAGTTATCGACTTATTGTCTTTCTGCCTCTCTCCCTCTGAGCAAACTGGTTCGTGATTGGACAGCTTACTTTAGGACGCCACTCCTCCCCAACCTTCCACGACCATACAACTTGACGGTTCTTGGATTGGAAATTTCGATGGTAAATTCAAGTGTTGGCTCCATATGGGTTCCTCTCGGCTACGCAGCAATATACACAGTACACAGGAAGATCACCTTGCGAAACGTGACCTTCTTTTATCGACACCAGTCAGGACATGGATCCTTCATTGCTAAAGGGAAGTACAAAATTTGTGATACTGTTTTTGATACGACTGTCGAATCACTTCCAGATGGTAATGTCAAGCTCAGCGGTAATTCAGAAACACCCATTGATGTAAGCACCATCGAAAATGCCTTCGTGTCCGCAAGTCCGTCTTCGATGTTGGTCAAAGCGATCGAAAAAGTCAACTTATTTGTGCTTCGTTTGATGAGACCTTCCATGGAAGCATACATCAATAAAGATTTGATTGTGAAATTCTCTGGAAAGTCATACTTATACATGGACACTAGCACCAAGGCAGTTCCTATCACTCTGGAAATTTTTGGCGGGAAGTGGGGAAGAGAAGACGTACTTTTGGCGGGAATTACCAGCAGTCGGATCACAATGAACCAAGCATTGCATTTGTTCACAAGCTTATCACTTCCATATTTGGATATGCATGCTTCCAACGAATCAAGAGTAAGTGTTACTCGAAATCTTAAAGGTTATCGAGTTTTTAAAGCTTTTAAAAAATTCACGTGCTGACATTTTTCTGGAATTTTTCAGGTTGGAATAGTACTCTCTGCGCAGGCTCTGGACCTTAGTCAAAGTCCATATGAAATATTTAAGGAAGCACCGCTGGCACATGCATTTGCAGACACTGTCCCTGACGGTTTAAGCCTGGTAACCAGTGGAGCAATTCCCGTTCAAACACACAAGGACAACCAAGTGTGTCAGCTTTTCCAGGTTGAGCAATTATTTGTAAATACAATTTTCAAAAAAAGGATCCATTCGTTATTAAAGGGAAGGGCAGAACAAAATAGGGCGTAATAAAAGATAAATTGTATATCATACCGCATTTCTTTGGGCTGGAAAGGATGGAATTTTTACTGTGTGAACGTTGCACCACAAGAAGTATCAACAGCAGCTAATCCAAGCTAAAGAAAGATACAGCAAGGGACCAATGAAAAGTTAAAATAAGTAAATCACTCGAAAAGCGGGAAAGCCCAATTTATTAAGTCGTGATCGGCTTTCGTTTTGCATCTGATTGGTTGAGAGAGTAGGGCGAATTTTCTGGACTATTACAGGGCAAATCAAAGCTAAAGCAATGTAATCCCAAACAACAAACGAGACACAATTGCAAAATTTATCTTTTCATTTCACTAATTTAGACTATTTTTGGCCGTGGAAGTGAGCTTACACTGAAGGCATCGACAAACTGGGCTTCCATCAGCCTCGACTGGCATTTTATCAATCTTGCTGCAGGAGCATTGTCACCGTTTGACCGAGTGGAGATGAAAATGAAGGTACTCATTCCCAAGAGTGCAAGAATTCTACTGTCGTTTATCATGATTAAAAATTCTGCCTCACATTACACGTAGAAAAAGAGGATCTGCAGCGGTGTTCCCTTCATTAATAGTCTCTAGTTTTTCGGCAAGGTTTTGTTTTGATGTCGCCCAAAATGACGTCTTTTATCAGCTCCTGTGATGAAAAGCCATTTTAAACAACATGTACAGAAAGAGAAGTGTTTTTACTTCAAACAGAAAGAACCTCAAGAACAGAAATATTTTCATAATTTTTTTGTCTTCCTTTTCATTTGAAACCAATAGATCAATGACACCAGGTTACTAAAGATAGAGTCTTTGGGACACATAAACATCCCTCTTAGTGGAATTCTTTACAAGAAAGGTCAGCGTTTAGACAGCTGGGATATTAGTGGTCAGCTAACATACAGTGGACTAAAGGCAAACCTTGAAGCAAACTTTAAAACCCGATCTGCTTGGAGAAAAGCCTTTGGAATGGAGTACTTGACCATGAAGAACCTACAGTTAGGGTAAGAACGGAAAGAACAGCGAGATAACGGACTTGCTCATGTCACGAGATTTCGCAGTAAAAGTGTCGTAGAAAAGAAATGGACTCGATGATCAAGTAAAACAAAAAGGAAAGTGATTCGTTTACATCGCAGCCAGTAACCCATCGGGGAAGAAAGACAAAAAAAATTGAAAATGAGGAGTAAGGATGATTAAGAATGGGAATGATTAAATTGGATTGGAAAGAGCAAAATTTGGAGGAGGCCTGATGAACACGCAGCGGAGGACAGTCCGTAGGGTAACTAAAACAGAATTGTTCCTGCCGTCTTAATTAAAGAACGCCTCATCACCATGCTTAGTTAATATCAGATAGACAATATATGCGAGAGAGAGTGAGATTATTGAACGAGGAAAGGGTGGGTTCAATAGAGAGATAAATCACTGACACTATATCTTTTCATTTCAGATTATCGTTACCGATTGGCCAGTCACAAAAAAGCAGCGCTACTGGCCAAGCTGAACTTCAGCTGGGTTCTCTGTGCAACGCAGCGCGCAATCGTAAGAACGAATCTATCAAGGTATGTAGAACACAGATCAATGGAAAAAAGATAAATTAAACGAGGTGTAACTTTCAAATGTTTCGATCGTCCATGATACATCGTTTTGCATAAATTTTATTTCAGAAAAGTTGCGTCACTGGTCATTTGTCCTTGGGATTGTCTGATAAATCTGCTGATCGTTTCTTTTACGGCTCGCTGTCTCCTGTCAGTCTTCAAAAACTGCTTGAAGTGTGTAATATCAATCACAAGCTGCCTGTCGCCCTGGCAACGATAGGATTTCCTGAAGGTCTAAAGGTACGAAAAAAGACTCCTTTACTTTCTCCAGTCCTCTATGCATGTTGGCCGCTTTTGGCCCAGGCCATTTGGAGTGTTGCAGCAGTACTTTTCCTGGACTGGAAGCTGGTTCATTGGAGGTTACCTCCAATGTTTTACAAACTTTTCCTGTCCACTTGCAGGTAACTATTGAAACCCCTGAATGGGAGAAGCACTTGGAGATTAGTCTCTCAAAAACCCAGCGCGCTGACCCGGCGAGAGATTGCGCGCGGATGTTTCGATTCGAAGACCAGCGCACAGATTGTACAGTACCTCTCGTGCATCTAAAATTGTTCTGCAACCTCTAATTTGGGATTTTTTTCTCTTTTCCAGATCTCTGCCGCAAAAGGAGCGCACAACCTTAGCGTTCTTGAAGGACCAACCATAAAACCAGGTTTCATTCTGTCAGGCAAGATGAGTTTATTCGGAATTGAGACCACAGGAGCAGTTTCGCTTTTACCTGAAGAGGTATTCAAGTCCGCATAACACTTAAGCTTTTCAGACATCTATGAGTTTGCGTGAAAACTTGCTACCCTGTTCTTGCAGGCGCGTCTGCAATGTGGGGGCTTATAGTGGCTGAGTACCACGGTTTGTTCCGTTCGTTTAAGGGCTATTTTTGTGAAAACTTATTTGACTGAACAAAGGGCCTACTGGATTATTTTGTTTTGAACCGCCATTTCATCAAAATAGCTTTATTTCTAAAATCATTTCTTTGTTTTCCATTACTCCAGTTTGTAATTGATGCCAAAATTAAATCAGATGAAGATCTCGCCACTATGGACGACATCACACTATCATCTTCCTCGACTGCGGGTTCCAATCTTAATTCTAAGCTTTATCTGACAGCTCGAATGGATTCAGTTCCATCCGTAAAGGTAAATAAAAACAGTGATGCATCTGTACGAGACTATGAGTGTAACATCTCGGCGCAACAGCAAGCGTTTGCAAAACGTACTTAAAATAAAAGCCGGGAAACAACCTGAGGCTTCAATGAGATGTCGACTATGCATAATACCTGCTTCTCTTACCAGCTGAAAAGGAAATGAGGAAATTGCCTAAAGAGATCAATTTAAAAAAATTGTGATGTCAATCCGCGGAAACACTCCCTGAGAAGCACCGCTGAACAAAAAACATAGCCTCGCTAAGCAGGTTTAAGCTTTCCTCGTTTCCAGACGACCCTCAATTCTTAGAGCGCAATGCGCGGGTTTTGCGGGAATGTTGCGTCCAGTAAATTGCTTAGCAAAGCTTATTTTTCCCCCTCCTTAGGCACACCTTGACGGCTTTCCTCGGCTGTTTGGTATATTTAAGGACGTACAGATACTTGCTACACGTGATTCTTTGCAAATTCATCTGGCCAGTGACGTCAACAAGTCCTACAAAATCGATGTCCACTTGATAACTAACTACAGCGCGAATCGTAACGACACCCAATTTAATGCCATGGTTGTCTTCGACAGTGGTTTGTCCAAGGTAAAAGGATGTTTAAAGAGGAATAATAATTAGGTGTTACAACAACTTTAACATTTTGTAGCGTTATCTGAAAAATGTCCTCTACCGCTTTCTGTCATTTTTCTCTCAAGATTGTGAATTTTCTAGCTCTATGCTACTACTCGGATCAATGTCATTATCTGAGAAACTGTGCACCTACCAATCTCCTAACCCAACAACAGTCAACTGATGGTTTCATGTTAGGTCAGGAGACGGGTGGGTGCGCAGCTGGTCAGACACTGACATTCATCCAAATAATCTTCCAAATTCCGATGGTAACTTCTCACTGAGACATGCGCAGATCTACCACCCAACTTCCCTTCTTTTGCCTGTATCGCATCAAGACTCTAGAATTCGCTTTAAAAGTATCGATATAGCTGATCGATAGTATCGATAGCTGCAAGGGTCTCTTAATTTCATCTCTCCACCGCAGTGCAAATATATGAATTTTCATATATCTAAAATCATCATTCACTTGGATGTTTATTTGGACCCAATTCATTGACCAGCTCCCAGTTGGCTTGTTAGCTCAATTGGTAGAGCGCTGCACCGGTATCGCAGAGGTCATGGGTTCAAATCCCGTACGGGCCTGAATTGTTGTCAGGTCCTATTTACAACTACTCGTTTCAGTAGTGTTCTTAGCTGCGAGGATCTCTTAATTTCATCTCTCCACCGCAGTGCAAATATATGAATTTTCATATATCTAAAATCATCAAGTATCGATATCTTTAAAAACTTATAATTGATGTGGTTTATTTTCTCCTCAGTTGACACGTCTAGCCTCAGATTACGTGGTATCAATGCTTGAATCAGAGATGTCGCGACTAAAATCAGCCAAAAGTGAAGTACAACGCCTTAGAAGAGAATGTAACAAAACAATCAAACGAGAATGCTTCTGGTGTTTGAACCATGGAGTCTGTGCAAGTTCCTTCTCAGATGCACAAAATACCACGCAGAAGAAACGAGGCACGCCACGAATCGGTTCACCGCTTGACATTTGTCACCAGGTTGTAATGAAACGTTGCCTAGTCAACTCTGGGTACCACAATGTTTGCAGATTCGTTAGTGCAAACTTGAGCAAGACATGCGCAATTCACCGCAGTGCGGCAAGGTCTCAAAAAGACCTGGAGAAGGGACTGCGCTGGGTCAAGGAAGCCGACCAACTTATGTACAGCGAACTGTTACAGCTCCACTCTATTTCGTTCAAAACGAATGTCACATCAACCAATCTGGAGAAGATTTACTTGGAAACTACCTTAGAACTAACAATATTTGGACAAAAACAAAGACTCGAAGGTCGACGCATGGACTTCAACGAATTCATGAAATTTTCGTCGGAGATTGCCAAGTACGCAGTGGACTGGTACCAAAAGACGCAGCCGCAGTCGAAGCCAAAATTACGTCATCCAGATAACAGGCCAAGGTCTCCGACGTGGTAAGCGAAGATACCACACAAATCTTTTCCTCTTCTCTTATACTTTTAAAGCGAACAGCATTAAAGAAGGAAATTTAAGTTTGTAACAAGGGAAGATATAGCCAAGGGAACTAATGTTTCACAACGGAAGAGATTTTACACTTTTATTGTCAAATATTACGAAGATTTGTTACAGTTGTAAATCCAATTGTTAAGTTCAATTGTTTAAACAATGAGCGGAGGTAATGTCACTTTGAATTATGGAGAGCGGTAGGTTCGCTAGATCTCTTTTGAAAAGCCTCGTTTGAGAATTTCGTTATTCCTGATTAGTCGTGTGATAGCGTCACGCAATCATGTCACGCACGGAATGAGTTCCCAAATGCACAGCTGTAGAAGCAGCGATTTGGACACTGCTGTTGCAGGGACCGCGCAGAGGTCAAAACAAAAAATAATTTAACAAAAATAAGGGGACCAAAAATAGCCCCCCACTCAAAATCTTGCAGCGCGGTCCCTGTGTTGTAATTATTTCGCTATCTTTTAACACTTTGTTTATCCTCTGCTCTTAAGAGACACGTTTCGCAAAGACCTAAATATTTTTATAAAAAACATTAACTGTAGTTGAGACTTTTTCTGGCAACAAAATTGGTGCTTGTAATACAATCAAACGCTGAGCTATCAAGCCTGGACAATATCAGGGGAAACACCAACTTGTGCCGAGCGCGGGAAAACATCAGCTCCGTGCAAAGCATGGGAAAACGCCAGCTTGTATAAAGCAGGGGAAGACAAAAATCTTTGTGTAAAGCGCGGGAAGCTTGCATCAGTGCAACGCACAATTTGGTGAAGGCGTAAAGCCATACGAAAAAGCGCATTTGCTTCAAAGCCGTTGTTACGCTTTGCATTTGAGGCGATTTGTATGACTTTAGGAAGCGCCATAGTTTTAATACTCATGTACACTTCTATAACTATCAAAGGAAACAGCTTTGTTTGAACGGTTTGCAGCCAGTGTTTTGATGATTACAAACGAGTCCGCTTTAAAGTAAAATCACATGTACACAGTATTTGATATTTAATTATAACCATGGAATTTCCGGAGGGAAGATTTTATGTACGTAGCAACTACGAAATGTGGAAGAACACGTTTTGTTGAAACAATAAAGTTAAATTGAAAATATAGTAGTAGCAACTTGACTAATGAATACATATCGCGCATCTAACTCCCAAAACATTATAAATGTCAAGTGTTTTGATACTATTGTTCTTTCCGTTTAAGTTATGACACTTAACAGTCTTCTCGTTTGTTTGCTCTTAACGCGACATCTCCCAGATGTTTCCGCCTTCCCGTCACTTCTTTCGCTAAGTGATCAGACCCCCTCCATCGGAACTCAAAGTACCAAACGCGAATGACCTAATAAGGACTTACTTCAGTTTCGCGTCTGATTGATTGAGAGGCAGTCAAATAGCGAAATAACGCAAAAACAAGGCGATCCCGAATTATTTTCGACGCTTGATTGAAAATTGGTCTTGATTCAGCTTCAATACAGCATGATAGACATGAAAAACAAAAAAACAAAAAACCGAAATATCTCCAAAATCAAAGGAATTATTATATTTTTCTGAATCTTTTCACTTAACTGTACCAATGTAAAGCCAAATTTTAAACAAATACTACTGCAACCCAATAAATACTGAATGAATATTAACAACACATGACATGTAAACTTATGCAATTAATGCGGTTGCCTCTGGAAGCAGGCATGGGAAGCGGGCATGGGTCGGGTAATCACGACGTCCATTCAAAACGTTCACTACTCTCACATGAAGCTTAAGAAAACTCAAAGTAAAAACAAACAGACTCTCTTGAGGACGGGGAAACGCAATTACCCGAGTCGGGATTTGTTGTATACTTAGTTCAACCAGTATTCAAGACACCAAAGTGGTATACGGGGGAGAGTGTTGTGTATCACGTGGTACAAATAATCCAATCATATGACGTAATATCTAAACGCCCTCTTGGATGCCAATCCGGCCATATGATTGGTTCATTTGCACCCGTGCCGCGAGTTTTCTACATCAACACAGGGCGTAACACAGCAAAATCTATTCATTCTGCGTTATTTCCGACACTGAGTCAAATAAAAAAGTAATAACTGTGGCATCAACCATATAGCACGTTACAGGCTTAAAGGGCCTTAGACGCGCTATAATTGAAGAATGCTTGATAGCAAATTGTCACTGCAATAGTCAAGGACAACTATAAGAAAATAAAATATGTGACTAACCAACATTTCACAGCACCAAAACCAGTGGAAGGAATGGATGCCTGAGATACTTCAGAGACTTTCCAGTAAATACAGTGTGATTAGAAAACGCCTGCACAATCGAAGGAATGCTTTGAGGGATGGAAAATTTCGCACGAAGCTCACAAGCTTCTTTAGCGGCCATGTTAAACTTGGTATATCGAGTTCGCTCAGGGCAGGTTTCCAGTCCAAGAGTTTGAAGAATCTTCACGTCACCACTCCATACATTCCAGGAAAATATGAATCCTACCTTCTGTAATACAGGGCTGGATAAGGGCAACAAGAAAGTGAGGTAAAATCAAGAAAGTAACAATTGAACGCTATGTTGGTCTATCCAGGCTAAGCAAAGGGTTATGTTTTGTCACAGCATTTCCAAGCGTGTAGAGGGAGGCACGAGGAAGGCGCGAGGGCTTAGACCCGATCATGTGGAAGACCGACTCACCTCTCGCGCAAGGTGAGCGCAAGGTAACCGCTAGGGGGTGACACGTGCAAGATGAGGGCACCCCCTCTCTGGTGCGAGACGAGCGCGAGGTAGCCGCAAGGGGCAAAACAGGTACAAGTGGAGGAGCGTGAAAAAAGAAAAAAGAAAAAAAAAAAGAAAAAAGAAAAAAGAAAAAAGAAAAAAGAAAAAAGAAAAAAGAAAAAAGAAAAAAGAAAAAAGAAAAAAGAAAAAAAGAAGCGTCAATTTTTCTTTCGCGCTCCTTCTCTCGTGCGTGAGGAGGAGCGCGGAAAAAATGACGCTTAATTTTTCGCGCTACTCGTCTTGCACATGTCCTATCCCTCGTTCCCTCTTACAGCCGCCTTAAGCACCCCAAAAAGGCCCCCCTTTCCAGTAGCCTAACCTGCATGTCCACGAGGCCAACGAAACAGAATTAAAGCTGATGTAGACCAACAGAGGTTGAACAACTACAAGCATCATGTCAGCTTACCTTGGACTAACAGACAGACCACAGGTCGCTGATTGTTGCTTAACGCGTGTGAACACCAGCAGCCTGGCAAGTGTGATCACTTCTCCACTGTCCGGACATGCAGTGATCACCTGGACATCATAGTCCTTCAGGGACTTATAGCTTTGCCGTAGATCTTCATGAGCCTGGATTAATTCACTGATGCATTGCTCTAAGTCAAGTGTTGTTTGCTGAATAGCCATCCCTTGCTTATTACTTCCAAGAGTTTTTTTGAGGATTGAAAACATTTCTGCATTTGGGTTGCTTTGGTTTATTTTAGCCACTTGTTTTAAGGGGGCACTACCACATCGTTTTTCAACTGTAAGTGACAGGGAGCCATCATACATGTCAAACTCATTTGCCAGATCAGGAAGTTCATCATAGCTAGAATCATTGCTAGTTTCTTCATACAATTTGAAAACAGATGAGGTCAGATTGTTGTTGTTTACAACTGGTGCAGCTGTAACGTTATTGTACTCATAAGAACTGTAGCAATGTGAGCAAGCAAAGTCACAATGTGCTTTATCAGACTTATCTTTGGAGACATGACTGATACTTGATGAATCACCAGAAATGTTAGCACATGTACTTGAACCCTCTGTCGCATCCAAGCTTTGAAATGAATTCACATTACATGTGTTTCCCAAACATTGAGTTGAGTCAAAAGATGAATTACCAGCATAAGACTTATTACACTTTACTTGGTTACTTCCTTTACCAACACAATCCCCTTGAGCACAAAGTCCTTTGTAGCACAAGTCATGACAATTTCTCACATTCATGGTACACTGTGTTGGCGAAAAATCTTTGCCTTCATGGACTTTAATCTGCTCACTATGTATTTGATCCAGCTCATTAGCAAAGGCAGATACAATCTTGCTCCTTTTGACATCATTGTGCAAGGTACAATTTGAGTTCATTACATCAGCTTTGGCATCTGAACTTGAATTTGCACCAAGATTTGTTCCAGAGCTTGCTGTGAAGTCATCTTTTTGATTACAACTCACTTTTGTGTCTTTAGCAGACTGTATACCAACATGCAGTTCCCTTGAAGCCAAACATGACTTGCAATCTTCTCCACTATCACTGTTAGTGTCTGAATTATCCTGTATACTACCATTAGGTACTGGAGTGCACAACTTTGAAGCACAATATTTTCCATGGGGAAATAAAATCTTGTGAAGCTCCTGTGTATTCTTTATTGTGCTCTTGGAAGTTAACAGTTTTAATGCCATCAAGAAGTCTCCAGTGTTGAAGAGGACTGTATCTTTAATCTTCAGATTTATGGAAGGGTTAAATAAGGGGAAAGGATGTAAAAGATCATATTTAAAGTGAACCACAAAAGAATGTTTCAAACATAGCTCTGTTCTTTCACCAAGAGACAAGTTCTTGCAAATCGCACATGGGTTCCAGGTAGGTCCAGCACAAACTGTAACGTAACACTGATGACTCTGATCTCCTCTTGAAGAGCGTCTGCAGGATTTTAAAGCAAACAAGCAAACGAAAACATATGACTTCACTATTAATGATGTATCAAAAACTAAAACTCATGTCATTAGGGACATTAGATGACTCTGATTGCTTCTTGCAAAGTTTCTGTGTGATTTAAAAACAAACAAAAAAAAAATGTGTGATCACACTATCAACTATGCCTTGACAAGACTGATATATAATAATGTTACTCAAAAACTTTAAGGGAAAGCTAAAAACAGAGTTGTTCACTCACACTTCACCATAAACTACAACATGTGACTCATCTGGGCTCTGAGTGACCATTAAATGTAAATCTTCATGTATTTCCTCCCCATGAAACAATGCCACTGAAAAAACCTTGAAGAATTGCATTATAGAATAATAATATTTCAGACATGTATCAGTGATAACTAGCGCACAATCAAACAAAGATTGTAAGCCACATATGCATTGAATTAATTCTTCACATGGCCATACAATCTACATTAAACTACCCATGACTTTTCAACCCAACTGTGAAGAGTCTAACATAACTGTCTTCTACCTAGTTATTTTTAGTGGGCTTTTCAGTTTTCACACTCCAGAAAGAACAAAAAATGGTGAACATTTACCTAGCTCTTAAAGAGATTCATGCCATGAATATTCTTTATATTTATGCATTTAAAAAAAACCCTGAATTAAGAGATTAAGAGACAGGGGGGGGGAAGGTCATGGATAGCCCAGGGATCCCCTATCTGTGCTCCCTTGACTTCCTGCAGATAGAGGCATTGAAGCTCTTGCACATGAACATACTGTTTGTACATACATCATAAAAATCATTGCCCTTACAAAATTCTTTCCCAGATTGCATAATTTGTTGGACTACAACCACATTATGCATTATGTAAATCTATTCACTTTTCAATTTAATAACGGCACAAAATTATGCAAAGTACAGAAAACTTATCTCTTACAAACCTGAACCACTGGTTTCCCTAAATTGAACTCCCACCAATGAAGAGAGTAAATATACCTCGGCATTGGACTGGTGTCATTGTTGTCAATTTGAAGACAATATGAAATCAAGTATCTGCCATTCTTGGTAAAACCAAGAATGACATGTCTGTTAGGAGAAAGGAAAAAATTTTCAGACACCACCTCTTTTGAGAACTTTGAAAAACAACTAAGCAACTATTTAGGATGTTTCTGCAGATAACAAGTAAATAATGATAGTTTCAAACACCATCACTTTTGGGGACTTTGAAAATAATTGAAACTCGCATGCTCAGATGAGGATGTTTCTTTGCATCATTCCAAATAAGCCTTTCAGCTATTGCTCCTTCTTTACATTAAAATACAATATATCAACACTTTTAGAGCTGTATCATCTTGTGCTGTGCAATGTATCAATCACACACAATGTACACTATGAGATTATTCATAGTGGTAATAGGACCAAGTGGAATCCAATTCTGTTTGTAATCATACGAGTGATTAACAAAATCAGACAACTGCAAAGTAGGAGTCTGATTTGTCAATCACTCATATGATTACAGACAGAATTGGATGACACGAAGTTCTGTTACCAATTAATCATAACAATTACAATTTCTGGAAGAAAAAAAAACATTTAGGACAAACATCTCCAGTAGGGACATTATGTCTAAAGCAAAAAATTTGAAAATTTCCCAGTTTTCTTTTCAGGGTAAGTGGTTGTTGCTATGGTTATTGGGATCAATTCTATGATTGGTGGATTTAGCTGAGTTTGGCTGCTTCAACTGTCCAATTACAGGTGTCCACTTACACTGTCCAATTATAACTGTACAGAGTGATTCGTGATATATAAAGCGGCTGATGCAACAATTACATTTGAGGAAATTGTAATGGTTATGATTAACTCTGAAATTACAGTTGCGAAGATTTTAACGTCACGTTTGTTGGGAATAAAAATTTAACAGTCTATCAAAAACATAACGAGATGGGGAAAAAAATATAACTTGCATGATAAGATTTTAGATAGAGTATTTTCAAAATCAAACATCTAAACTTATTGAAGGAAAATTTTACCCTTTTCTGATAACACCATTCACATCTAGTATGCTGTCCAACGGAATGCAAAACCGTTCAGGGCATTTCTTGAAGAAACGAGTTCGGTTTCCGCGTAAATGCGGCTGCAAACATCCTCTTGTCTAATAAGGGATACAAAATGATCATTATATAACTGAAAAGTTTTGTATTGGATGAACAAGTTTATACTTACTTCTCGTAGAGCAAGTTTTGCTACAATATTTCCATTACTCATTTTGTAAAACCCGCGTTTGATAATGAGCCCACGCTCGCTTGACCAAAATGTGCGTATAATTCAGAAAAATTGTGCGCGAGTGTCAGTTTCTGAAAGTAGCCGCTGTTTTCATCGATACTCAAAGACTTTTCGCAAAAAAATCGAATTTCTCTAATTTACATTAACTAAACTTTCGGTTTTGATAGCAATTTTTCATAATAATGCCTCCTCCCGAGTCCAAAGAAGATGATTTACACGAAAGAATTGGAAGCTTCGTTTCTTACCTCAAGCAAGGGTGAGTGTTTCGTTAGGTACCATGAACATATGAATGAGAAATTCAGACTTGACCTGACCTCCTTCTGAACATATAACCTCACTGAAAATTTGTTCAATTATGTATTTCATATATTACTTTATATTTCCTTATCGGTTTTTCTTTCAGTCAACTTCATGGATCATATGATGTGGCATTGCAAACACTACATCTTTTGAGGAGGATCGTTTCCCAGACTCGCTGGAGTACTGCAGGGTAAGAACAGAATGTAAAGAAGGTTTTCCAGAACTCTTCACGCTTGATTTGCTCCCAATTAACTTTATGATGCAGCAGATAACAGCAAATTCCTCTTGTTTCTAATTTAAACCTTAGTAGTGCTGGCTTAAGGTTTCAAACCAAGTAGAAATCTGGTGTCATTTGAGATATTAATCCTTTCCACCTTAACATCAGTTTACATATTCTTCCTACTGTACTCCATACATTTGCTAGGGTGCTGACAAGGAGAATATGGTGATCATTTCTTTTATTCTCATGATCTTTATGTGTGATTCCAAGGTTATATTATAAGGAGAAATTAAATGCTCTCTTAGAGGTTAAAAGGTTTATTAAACATGTCTGATTTGAAGCTTCTAAAGTTAATTTCAAAGTCTGATGTGACATTAATTGCTGAATGTTTTTGCACACAGTGAGTTGATGCAGTATATGAAAACAGAGGGAAAGAAAATGGCAAGTGCTCAGCCAACAGGTCAGATTATATAAATTTCTGATTGTCTAGTAACATGTTGTCATAAATCACAACTGACTACAAAAGCAAATGAAGTTATTCATGATCTATTGCTGTATTTGTTTATTCTTATAGATTCTGTTGTTGGAAATATGGTACGGAGAGGTATGTTCATAGCTAACATTTTAACCTTTGAACCCTTAAGAGTGACTGGCATCTAATTTCTCTTCACCATATCACTCCTGAATCAAACATTAAGGTCAGGAGAATAAAGGAGCTGATCACCAAATAAAGAAGCTCTTGATTGTTAGACAAATTCTCCTCATCAGCACCTTAGTAACTGCACAGAGAGCAGTATGGAGATTATAAATACTGATGTTAGGGTGTAAGGGGTTAATACATGTTTTACAAGTACAAGCGTTTTATGATGTGTTTGTTATGTGATTTTTTTATTACACTTCTGCACACACTTCCACATTTCTGTACACAAGTGAAATTAACCCACACTTATTGGGAATTAATCAAGTTTGTAAAAGTTTTTAATGGTATTATTTATTAAAGCCTAAATAACATCTTAAATGAGTTCTTTTCCTTCCAGGCTTGAAGATCATAAGAGAAGAATATGCTGGGTATGAAATTTTTTGATTTACAGAAGCACATAGTATACTTTTCTCAGTCAAATTTTGTAACTTGTTTAAGATTGAGTACATTGAGTTATACCATATGCTGAATTAAATGTGCACTGGTTCTTATGATCTGTCAGAGGACAGACTTCATTGACAGGGTTTTGCTTCTTTCTCATATAAAACAAATAGATTGCATGTAAGCATGAGTCTGTTCAGTAGTATAATATTTTGTAGATCATGCAAGATGTCTAAATGTGGTTGGAAAATTAGTGACAGACTTGGCAGCCAGTCCTCATGTGCTTCTTTTTGTTCTTCGACATCATCTGTGATTTGTTCTGAGGAGATGCACAGCAACATGCAATCTATTTGTTGAATATACAGCTATCATAGCTGCTTGCATCTTGTTCATGCCATCAATTTTTACTGGCTGTTCATTTTATCTCATTATAGTTCTGTTAGTGGTAAAACAGAAGAAGGGGAAACAGAGGAATCCTTACATGTGAGTTATTGAGTAAACAATCATTTGTTTATATAACCATGATGGATAACAACATTTTCTGTAATGTGTGACTAATTATCTGGAAGTCATGTGGTCTGACAAAAGAATTTCCATTGTTGCTAACTGAGGAAATAGACATGTAATTGACAAGATGTTTTGAACATTGTTTTAGAAACTGTTAATGGCCGGTGGACCCTCCACAAGTGACTTCAACAAACCTGCTCATGGACTTAAGGTATGTTTACTTAAAGTCCTTGATAGACAAGAAACTGCTGGGGTCTGAGGGTTGTATGATACCTGGCTCACCACAGTTTTCACTTTTTGTCTGTTTGTTCTTGTGTTGATCATCCTTGGACCAAGGTGACAAGTGCATTTAAGTGTTTTTTTGACCAATGTGTCAGCTGATGTTCTGGTTGGGTTGGGTTGTTTTTTTTTCACTCTCTGTCTACATTTGGTACTATGAAACCTCTGGGAGGAATTCCCTCTTGTAAGTAACCACTGGATCTTGCTATAAGCAGGTACTTTCAGTTTGGTGGCTGTGATCTCTTAGAGACACCTTGTAACCCTGTCACAGTTTTGGGGTGTTTTTCTCTGCTGGTTAGAGTTGAAGGGGATTATGACATTACATTAACACCCTGAAATCAGTATGCATATTATCCATACTGCTCTCTATACTTTTACTAGGGTGCTGACAAGGAGAATTTGTTAACCCTTTAACTCCCAGATCAATTTTGTAATTCTCCCTACTGTCAACCATACAATTCTTATAATGTTAGTTCAGAGAATTTTGTATTGGATCAATTAAATTATCCCCAAATTGATATTTTTCGTTATTCTCATCACTTATCTGGTTGATATTGTATTGTATTGTAAGGAGAAATTCTGTCTTGGTCACTCATGGGAATTAAAGGTTTAACAATTAAGAGCTTAATTTCTTTCCTTCTGACATTGCTACAAGAAATTAGATTCTAGTCACTCTTAAGGGTTGAAAGGTTACTTGAAAATTAAAGCACTGATCTTTCACAAGTAATTACAAGAAAAATTGGAATGTGCAAGTCAGCTTTCTTTCAGAAGTCACTTATTGGCCTCTTTTCATGGCCCTTTAAGTTCAAAAAGAGCAATGTGTAAATTTGAAGTAATTCTGTTTTTTGCTTTGATTTTGCCTTTTTCTTAACAGGCAACTGTCATTGATGCTTTAAACGAACTTTTATCAGAGATTGAGGCCAGGTACACTGTTTTTAATGAATACTTGATTTCATCTTTACATCATGTGTAAATGATCAATTTCACATTTTTTTCTGTCGCACCCAGAACGCATTTGAGAAAAAAATTCCTGTGAATGACAAAAGACGGATTAAAATGAACGCATTTGCGTGTAAACCAATTCACACGTATAATTTTTGTACAGCACGCGCGTAAAAATTACACGTACTTGACGCGCGTGTTGGTGCTGCAGTACACGTGAGCGTTACTGTATTCAAGCACATTGTCATTCTGCTACCATGTGGAAAGAGTCAATTTGCCACCAAAATTTGTTAATGACCATTGATTCCTTTACTTTGTTTCTTTATTGTAGCACTGATAACATCGCCACTCAAGCTCTTGAACATATACATTCTAATGAAGTGATCATGACGATTGGGAAATCCAGAACAGTAGAACAATTTCTCAAGGTGAGCCATCGTTTGAATAAGTTTTCAGCTACAAATGGAGACGATACGCTTCGACAAACTCGGAGATATTTCATTGAGAGGCTTTACGGGACTGTTTCTGGGCCGATATGTTTTCGGATTTTAATAGAAACCCAGCTCAGGGTCGAAAACTAACGTAAAAGAGGAAAAACTGGTTGGTTCTCTTTCGGCCGACTCTCGGCTGATTATCGGCCAGTTGTCGATAAAAAATTGTTAGGACAATGAACAGTCGGATATGTGTCGGTAATGTGTCGCAAGGTTTCGGTAACAGAGTAACATTTCCTTTTATAGCGTTAAAATAATTTTCTTTTCATTGTTAAGAATGCAGCAAGGAGGCGTACATTCAGCGTGATTGTCGCAGAGGGAGCTCCTTTCTATAAGGTAAGTGATCTATTCAGTGCTTCTTCTAAGTTATTTTTATTTCTGAATAAAGGGGGTAAGTTTCTAAAGAAACTGTGGTGCTGCATCGGTGGGAGAGTATAACGAGGTAATTTAGGATTATCAGCTGAGCTGATAATGTAAATTGGCCACCGTAAAAAGTTTCAAAGCTGACGTTTCGAGCTCTGACGATGGGCTAACGCTCGAAACGTCAGCTTTTGAACTCCTTACGGTGGCCAATTTACGTTATCAACTCAGTTGATAGTACTAAACTACACCATTTTTATTTCTGTAAAGAACGTTCGCAAATATTCAGTTTACCGCACATGAAATGACTTACATATTTTATTGCTGATTAGAAGTATCTTTTTCTCTTTTTTTTTAAATTTAATTTATTTAAATGATATTGATTATTTTGAACAGGGTCAAGAGCTTGCTAAAAGTTTAGCTCAAGCTGGAATTGAAACAACTGTCATTACAGACTCGGCCGTTTTTGCCATTATGTCAAGAGTAAATAAGGTGATTTATCATTTTTGGATTGAAAACCTGCCTTATGCACTTATATTTTTCGGGGGGAGAGGGGAAGGTGGCTGATAGTTGTAAGAGGAAATAAACGTGGCTAATTTTCGAAGAAAAATCACGAATGTTGTGAGATATTTCATTTAATTGTCAACCTTTCGTAAATTGAACACTCGCCCGGTGCCATGTTGTATCTTTTTGAAGGAGTAGGTCGTGATATTTTGAGTCGCTGAAAGTTGTCGTTATTTTGAAGGAAAACACAATGATGAAACTTCGTAAGTTAGACGAAAAACAAACAAACAAACAAAAAGGCAGTGAATTCCCCAAAAGGAACTTTAGGCTTCTTGTCTGCAATTTCTTTATTTCACTGATAGCAGCTCACTTGCAAACATCATTTTGTTACGTCGATGTGAAGACCTTGACGTCCATCTGCATTGCCAGTTTTCAGAGTAAAAGTAATGTCGAGGAAGACGTTGTTCGTCTTGTCACGAGCGTGAAAAAAAAAGAAAAAAAATTCTGGGTCTCCATGAGGAATCGAACCCCAGACCACGGGATTTCGTGCTCCGATGCTCGAAGATGGAATCCGAGGATATGAGGCTCGATTCCTCGTGCGGACTCGGAAGTTTTTCTTTGTTCCACGCTCGTGAGAAGACGAAAAACATCTTTCCCAATTTCTTCACCGAGCTCAAAACTTACCATCTCTCTTTTTCTATTAACAAAAATGATGTCATTTGTGTTTAGGTTATTATGGGCACTCATGCCATAATGGCGGATGGTGGGTAAGTGATCTCATCTGTTCTTTTTAGTTTTTGAGAAGTACTTAAGGCCCTGTTTGTCCCTCCCCCCAGCATCCTCCTCTCCCTCCGCCTTTCCAACCTTCCCCCCTCCAAGGTTATTATTGGCGCTTATGCTATAATGGCCGACGGTGGGGAAATGATTTGATCCGTTCTTTTAGATTTCCCACCTCCCCCCCCTTCCCTTTTTCCCGCTTCCCCTCCCCCCCTTAAGACCCGGGATGGGCGAAAAGCGTAGCTTTTGAAATGTTATACGATCGCAATATCAGACCAACGCAACTATTCGGCTCTTCTCCAAAATCCTTCACCAGCAATTCTCAGCTCGTTTTCCTCTCCAGGAGTACTGAGTAGCAATCTTACAGAACAGCACTTTATATTGGATTAATTATGTGTCAAGGTTTTGAAGGAATTTTGAATCAAACTGTGAAGGAATTTACTTTGTGTGCGAAGGGGTTCATGTCTTCGCTCCAGGGTCTAGTACGTTTCGTGAAAAACTGACAGCATGACCTGGGACTTACATCTCTTTGTAGGTTACGCTCTATCGTTGGTTCTCACGCCCTCGCACTTGCTGCTAAGCACCATTCAGTTCCGGTAAGAGTATGTGTAATATGTACACAATTAGTGCAATTTTGTACTTGAATTTAGGTGATGTAATTGAAGCTACGGTAGATCTCGTCCCACTCTAAGTTCGCCCCCTTGCCATCAGGTCGAGTTGCTCCACGCCCAATAGGTCATTTTACAGGAGTGTACTTTGTTGTCAAGCCTTTGATTTGGAGTAAGACTGAAGGTGACCTTGTTGTGATAGAGACCAGTATTTAGTTAGCATAATAACAAAGTAATTAACATTTGAAAGGCAGCAAGGTTTGTATCATAACAAGGTCAACCTTAGCCTCACTCCTGCAAAAAGGCTCGGCAATCAAGCACGCAACTGTGAAATGGACTGCTCAGAAAAAACTCACCAGCCTTTGAACACCACGTAACTAGAAATATTATGAACTCGACAGTATTTCGTTCTCATCCGAATCATATTTGGTTCTTAGCCAAAGTATTCCCAGAAACAGACTTGTGTGATTAGTATCTATTCCTTCTTGAGTCATGTCGCCTCTATTTTGCTAGTAGTTGTGGACGTAGGCCATCGCCCCAACCCCTCCCCTCTTCTTCTCCTTGACCGTTGCCCACCCCCTTGGTGCGAATGTCTTCCTCTCCCCTGCCTTCAACTTCTGTATAAATCAAAGATGGCAACCATAATTTTCAACAATAGAATTGTAAGCACTCGCTTGTCAAATTTCCGCGTGGAATACTTACTTCAGAAATCGTTGCATTCGAATAAAACCGAACTGACTCAAATGTTTCATTTCAAACAGCTGATTGTGTGTGCTGCCATGTACAAACTGACGCCCCAGTACATTGTCGCGTATGATCAGGTAACTTTAGAATTCTCACCACTGCACTCCGCCAAACGTTGTTCCATATATGTATATCAACTTCAGCCCTGTACTAGTTAGTAAGCTCTACATAATGCCTAATCATATTCCGAAATACCCCGTTTAGTTAAAAGTACCATGCCGTTGTGATCTGGCTGTTTTCATAGCCATTTCAACTTAAGGCAAGCAACAGCTAGGCAGTAATTGGAAGGAGGATGGTTTTCAACCCGTAACCACCAAGTTACCAGTCCAACTTCCAGTTGGAATTTCTATCGTGGAATATAAGTTTACTGCCAATTTATGGTCCGCTCTCGCTACTTATTATGAAATCAGTACATTTTATAGGTTAAAAATCTGTATTATTTACCTTACACCATTGCCCATTTTGCAGGACAGCTGTAATAAATTCGTCGTTCCTCACGATGTGATGAAATTCTCCGAAGGTAGGAATTAACCTGGATGAAAATTGCCTCACTCCCTGTCTTGGTAGTGAGGCGTGAGTGGCCCAGTGGTCAGAGCGCTGGACTCTGGGTCGGACGGCCCGGGTTCGAGTCCTGGATGGGGCACTACGTTGTGGCCTTAAGCAAGTCGCTTCACTCACCTTGCTTCGTCTTCTCGGATAAGACGTTAAGCCGGAGGTCCCGTCTCCTGCAGGGTTTGGGGTAGGAATATTCCCACACATTTCCCTCCCCTGGGTTGGGTTGGGTGGGTTTGTAACTTGTAAGGCGCATCTGAATATATTCATATAGATATTTGCGCCGAATAAGTATTTAATGAATCTTGGTCACTCCCATGAGTGACTAAGACAGAATTTCTCCATACAATACACTACAACATCAGGCAGACAAGTGACGAGAATAAAGAAAAATTTCATTTACGGGATTTTTAGTTGATCCAATACCAAATTCTCCCAACTAACGTCAAAAGAATTGTATGTCAGACAGTTAGGAAAGTTCACTGGTGAGATCTTGAGAGTATAAGGTTTGAACCACCGAAATTTACAGAGACTTGATAGAGTGCGTGGAATGACCATTGAACTGTTTTTTTTTGTTTTTTTAGGAAATATATTATCTAAAATTGACGTCCATAATCCAGTGTTCGACTACATACCGTCAGATTTAGTGAACCTCTGCATCTCAAACATGTAAGTGTAAGTTTGGTTACGTAAGTTTGTTAAAATAGCCCACCCTGGATAGGATGCCATTTTATCGGGAGGTTACTCCCACAGCATTTCAGCGGGCTTCCGTGATAATTCACCAGTCCTCTCTCCTGGGTGGAGAGAGGACTGGTGAGAGAGACTAAATCTTCGTCCCAGACTCCTGCGTAATAACCATTAGACCACCGCCTCTCACATCAGTTATTGTGGTTACATATTTAATCCTTCAGGCCCTAACATCAGTATGCATATTCTCCATACTGTTCTTTATACATTTCCTAAGATGCTGACGAGGAGAATTTGTTTACCGATCAAAGGCTTCTTTCTCTAGCGATCATTTACTTCATTCTCATGACCTTAATGTGTTATTTAGGGCTGATATTGTAAGGAGAAATTAGATGCTTGTCACTTTAAGGGTTCAGAGGGTAATCATCACCATTATAATTTCTTCAAGTGTGATTGGTGCATTGGCTGCTTTATTTTTCACCAATCACTTTGTGCAGCTGTAATCGCACAGTGTAATCGCACAGCTGGCTGTAATCGGAGCGATTAATCAAGTCCTCTCAGCTAAATCCACCAATCTCAGAATTAATCACAATAACTATGGCAACAACCACGAATCCTAGAAGAAAAATTAAGGAATTTCTAAAGTAGATTTTTATTTTTACTTAAGACATTGTCTCTACCGGAGATATTTGACCTAAATGTATTTATTGTTTTCGGAAATTGTAACGGCTATGATTAATTTATAAGAGGACTTTGTGTCGTTCAGTTCGGTTTGTAGTCATATTCGTGGTTGACAAATTAGACTCCCGCTGCGCGGTCGTCCAATTTTGTCAATCATTCGTCAATCACACACAGAATTGGACTCCACTAGGACCCATTACCATTATTAATAGAGTTTTTTCCTTTTTTCAGCGGTGGCTACTCACCATCCTATGTATACCGCCTCGTAAGCGAGTTATATCACGCGGACGACTACTATTTATGACGCGGTGAACTAAGATGCGCCGTGGGAGACTGGGAGACAAGACAGCCTTTTGGTTTGCGCGATAAACTCAAGCAGGCTCTCTTCGTCACAATAGGCTGATATCTCAAGAGTTATTTCTTACGAAACTACAAAATTTTGTAACAGCTCCCAAACCACAGTGTGTGTGTAATGGAAAACCGTTTCCATTGCAATTTATCGTGGAGATTATATGTGTAATGCGAGGAAAGCAGAGTTACCTTTTTTGTTCACAGGATTCAGACAGATTCTGGAGTTTTTGCGAAAACTTTGGTAGTCAGTGAACGAAAAGTTCTTCAGAACTGGAAAAGGATGGAAAATAGGTAGTAAATGTGAAAAAAAGAAAGAAGTCACTTTGTTTTTTATTTTTCAAACATTCTATAACAAGCGCTCCGTCGTTGATTTTTGCTCGTAAGTTATATTTTTGGCAAGAATTTATCGTAGTCAAAATGTAGTGCACATATGAAAAAAAAACTATTTTGGCCCCAACACATTTGTGGTTGCTTTGTTCACAATACCCTATAATTTCATTTTGAAATAAGGAAATAATTGCTTAGAGAAAGTCAGTCGCTGGTCTAATGACGGCCGAGGCAAGGAGAGAGGGCTTGGAAATGAGGTTTCCTGCTTTTGACGTCACTCATTAGACGATGTAACCACCTAATTAGTGGGATCCAGCCTTCGCTTATCACAGAACGAAAAAGTCGTCCTCTTTCGGTTTTATCTGCTGCAGCAAAATAAGTCAATTATTCGTGCGTGATATTTTCATCTTTCTTGATGTATGATGCTGCGCGAAAGGTAAGGCCATAAGCTGTTTAGAAATTTCATTTGATTACAGCTTATTTTACAACTTATCAGCCTTCGAAATCGAAGTTTTAAGAAAATAGATTTTTTCAGCGGAAACAGATTTCTATTTGAAATAGTTTTTCTAATGTCGACGATCGCAAAAAATTCACCTGAATAAATAATTTAGTCAAATATTTATCTATATGGGATAATCCGTTTCGTGTTATCTCAGCCAGCTTCTATTGCTGGAAATCTATTTTCAGTCGGGTTGTATTTAGGTAGTGGCGTAATGTAGCGACGAAAATGACGGCTGTGGAGTGTTTATTTATAATCAGTTTTAGCGCCTACCGAATGCGGAAGATATAAATCTCTGAAATAGGTTAGTTATGTTGTGATATCATTACCTAAAATGCATGATTTATGTTTGTCTTTCATGTTATTGCTACTCAGCAAACGTTAATTGGTCATGATTTTGATATTTCCTGGAGGCATGAACTTAAATACTGCTTTAAGTTCCATGAGTTGCTTTACAGGTGTAAAATATTGTAATGAGGAAAAATCTCTTCCATTATTGTCATAGATTTTATTTGCAAAAAGAAGTTTCAATTTGATTGCATTGATTCGTGAGAGAATGGAAATTTGCGACTCTTAATCGGTCAAGTTTAAAACTCGATTTAACAGATTGGTAATTTCCATTTGATTAATTTGCAGTTTGTCCATTTTAAAGGAAACGCAAAATTCTGTTTTATAGCAAATAGTTTTTCTAGGCAATGAGTAATTTCTAAACCACAGAGACATCATGAAATCATGACACTCTGAAGTTAAAGATTTGCCAGAGGTAAATTATTGGTTATTTGTGATCCACACAGACGAAAATGCAAATGAATTAAAAGAGTCTGTTGTTTTATGAATTCATTTGTTTTTTCAGGTAATCCTTTCAAGGTTTTTTATGCAATTTTCAACACATAAAACTTGTTTATATGAGAAAAAATAAATATTTTTTAGTTCCAAATTTGTCAGATTGGGTGGAAAGATCAAGCAAGAAAGGTGATGTAACACAATGCATGCGGACGCTTGAACAAATGAAATAACAACAAGAATAACCAACTAACTTACAAACAAATAATGGAATAGAATTTCTTATCGCTCGTAGCTGAGGCGAACTATCTGAAAAATTTAGTAATAGCACTTAAGTATTTAATAAATACAGATTTTATTATGGTAGTATATCTTTCTGCAATAATTGCCTTTTGAATTGTGAACACCACACGGGACGTCATCTGTCAATAATTTTGAAGAGCGCCTCAGATTTTCAAAAAATTGTTGTTTAACTTTCTTTCCTGAAGGAAACCGTGAGCTGGAGCGACACTTATTCCCAATATCGAAGGGAAAATTTGAACGAAGTAATTTCCAATCTAAAGTTCAGGTCGTGTTTCACGTTTCCAACTCATCAAGAGGTGTGACAGTGTAGTTTGATCTTCCAGGTGAGTGTAGTCCTGAGAAAGAATGTTGTCGGTATGGGTGACTAATCTTTCGACAGCCTGAGCGGAAGTCATCATCAAACTCAGACTACAGGACTACACTCACCCGGACGATCAAACTACAGTACTACATGTTACACCCGGGTTCAAACCATTTACTGTATCATCAGGAGCTATTTGTATTTCACAGGTCCATCGCACACATCTCAATAATTTTAAGGCCATTTCCTTAGGCTTGGCAATCTGTTGGTAAAACAGTAATATTATATCATAAGTAGTAGTTGTATACCATCAGTAAGCTGCAAAATTGTGTATCGTACGTTTGACACAAGGTACAATGACCAAGACACAAGCTCAATGAAAGCAAGACAATGAAACCCAAACACACTAGCAAAAACAAAAAAAGAAAACATTTTGCATATTTCCCTTCCTCCGACTTTCACCGATGCGAATGACAGACATGAATAAAAACGATGAGACCTATTGGAAACCATCAAGAACAGTGATGGTAATTACAATAATGGTGATGATAATAATGATGGTAATGATATTGATACTACTAATATTAATGATAATTACGTAGTAATAGTAACGTCCGTGTGTATTAAATGTAACTCTTCGATGTTCATTCCACAGGGCAACAGAGTGAACCTTTCTCTGCAAATATCTCTTCTTTGCCTGCAAAAAGGAGTTCAATAACACCCCGTCTAGTGGTTTTATTAAGGAGCGTGTTTAATGATGAACAAATCTATCCATCAATCACTGCTCGCTGCACTTGAAACCAGGAGCAACGAAAGAGAAGACAGTTCAATCGTCTCTTGGTACTGGATGGTTAGCCTCGCCATTGTTGTCCCAGCTTTTCTCATGAATTCCTCACTATGTGTCCTTCATGCTTGTTGCAAAAGAGTGCGTCGTCTTAGCAACATCTTTTTGATCACTCACTGCGTTGCAAACACCTTCCAAACGCTGGCAACAATGATATTGTTTTCTTGGGGAGAACATACAGACGTTTTTCTTTGCATTATCAATGTATCGTTTAGTTGTTCAGTGCTATGCATTCCTGTGATCTCGACGTTAACTTTATTTAAATCACAGTGGGCTCACCGATATGTTATTTGCGCAACAGGCAGTTTATCCTACGTCATCTTAATAACAGTGTTATGCGCAGGAGTGGGCGTGGCAATACCTCCATTTCTCGGATGGGGGTCGCCCTTGTTGTTCTACAAATCTCCAACAACTGTTTCACCATCATATTCGATCTTTGCAGGATTCGTCTTGACTGTGATACCTTTAGTCATCATTTGCGGTACAAATTACAAGATATTTTCTCGTGTTCGAAGCTATGAGCAGCGTGCAAGAAGAGATACAGAGCCTAACTGCTCTCGCGCGGGTAAGGCGCAGGTTGAACCGAGAAGACGAGACGGCGAAGCGAAACTGGTAATAATTATGCAAGTCTTTGTTTTTGCTGTTTGCCTTGTCCCTGTCACAGTGGAGAGTCTGTCAGCATCGTTTCTTTCTCTTGCTACGTCCAAAGTCATTAAATATTCGTTAAACTGCTTTGCGCAGGCGTACTGTGCATTATCTCCGGTCTTATATGGCTATACAAACAAGGACATCAGACGATCATTTAAGTGTAGCTGCTATCAGAAAAAATTTGTGCTCCAAAATCCACGAAAAAAATCTCGGCAACGGCAATTAGGTGGAGGTTCTTACCGCGGCGTCGGACTTTACGCGGATCCATTTGTGCTGATTCAGCAGGTTCAAAATTCATGCGATGAGCTGTCTGTTGACAATTATCTCAATGGAGGAGGTCGGGAGAGATTTGTACATTTTGCAGGACTATCCACAAATATTTCAATAAGTGTTGAAATCGATAACGTATCACGACCACAAAAAGTTGCTGAGCCGAAAAAGCGGCCGATAACGACCGAAGTTTCTCCAATTCGGAGACATTCCACGCTTCGAAAACAAGAGGACGCACCGAAAGTAAAGAAAAGGGTTCACGAAAGCGTTACAGTTTCCTTCGATTCGAAACCCGAATGCACCGAAAAACAACGGAAAAAGTACCTCGCTACTCCTTCAGTGAAACGCATGCGCCTGATTAAGAAGTCGCTGTCGAACATTTCCGATAGCGATCTGCAGTCCGGTATAGTAAGTTTTACCGGTTCAGAGTTTGAATCACTGCAGCACATGGCGCCACATTTTACGAACTACAGCGATCCTATGCGGTCAGCGGGATTCAGGCAAGTTTTGACGAGGAGAGGAAAGTTAAAGCGAACGTGCTCGCTTCATAGACGCGATAAACGCGAGCCAAAGATACGAGGGTTTATGGAGAGACGATGCAGCCTTGAAGGGGACAGAGCTATAAGGATTGCAAGCCAAAAGCCTGGCTAATGTTTGGACAGCGAAAGAGAGAGAGAGAGAGAGGGGTTGGTCAGTGTCTCTTGTGTATATCGAACTCCAATATCTCTTGCCCCCTCCCTCCCTGGCGAGTTTTTGAGCCCTCTGTCATCTAAACTTTGTGGCCTGTTTTTGTTTGGAGAACAAGACTGACTTTCGGAGTTTACTTAATTACAGCCACATGTTGATTTTATAAATTTATTATACATCTATTGATGGAGCTTAGATTTCAGCCGTCCTTTCGGAGAATTAATTTTACAGCCAGTGGATTTCTTTGTCTTTCATTTTAGTTTCCAGGAAGAAAGACATCCACGTGTGACCATGATTTAAAGCAGTCAGTGTCATGTTGAACCTCCAACCCCATGTTGAAAATTCGGCTTTCGTCCTTGAATGTTATGACGGCAAATCTAATGTTCGGGCGGTAGCGGAATTCTTTCCCCACACCTCACTGAGAGGCTAGGATTCAATATTGTCGGAGTCAGAGACCGAGTCGTTATCAGGAGCGCCGAGTGAGTCGCTCCGGTAAAAAACGAACCGATTGAATTAAATGCAATGTTATCTATGTAAACTAATTTGATGGAATCGAAAGTCATCGGACTTCGATTTACGATTTTCAATTGGACGAAGGCGCTCTTAAGAAACCAACTATGAATCTGATTTCATCTGTGGTTATAACAAGCTTCGACAGCTTCATTCCAGGGATGATCATTCTTATACTCTTAGGCTAACTGAAAACGCAAGGGAATGTGGCTAGTGTGGCTGTTTTCTTACTTTGTAGTTACTGAAAAAAAATTTCGCAAAGGTCACTGTCCCTTTCAGACGAACACGAAGTCTATGCCCCTCCCACATGCTTAGAAATTGTAAACATGAGGTCGGTTTTTTTCTGTTTTGCACCTCGGCAAAAAATGCTGAAGCTGGAAACGGTCAACAGTTCATCTAATAATGGCAACTCAGGATACTCAAGTAAGTGCCACAAAATTTTCATAGTCACGGGATAAATTTGCACTCAAAACACTGAGGTAATTACCGAAAGAACGTTTCGGCAATTTTGTAATTTATGGCTAAAATACAAATACATTTTGTCGAAAACTAAAGTTTTCTAGTTTTACGATAATTGGTGTGCCCTGGTTATAAGATCTACAGGCGCTCAAGTTTCTTAAACGATCGAATGACCGGCAGTTGGATATTTTTCTAAAAATTTATAAATTGAGAGAACCTACACAATCCAAACTATTATTTATAAGTCGATGAGGAACTACCTAGCGATCCCAAAATGATTTATAAATTTCATATCTAACGCTTGGTCGGTCACGCTTAGGCGGGTTACCCGGTTTGCTGGGTAAGGTAACCCTGTCAACCGGGGTGACAATTTGCCATGTAAACGTTTTAAGGTGGGGTTAACCGCCTAGCCGGGGTGGTGTTCATGTTACTAAAAGATCAAATAAGCAAGACAATAGCAAACACGAGTGTGTTTAAACTTCGTACATTTCCTCTCATGCAGAGCTAAAACGTTAAAACACAAATTTTTACGTCCTCTTGGCGATGAAACCTCGACAGCGATTTAGTCACGTTTTAACTTTGAACTCAACACTGCATTCACATGTTATGCCGAAATGAAGACGTTGTACCGTCAGAAATGGCTAACGCATCGAGCTATTCGCGAAAATTGTAGAGGAAATGATAAATTACGTTTTGTCGGCAATATTTTTCTTAATTACAAGCGCGATAATAACAGCGAGAAACTTCACCTCGGCATCCAGGGGTTGTAAGATTGTAGGCAAAAGCGGGCTTCTTTTTGACCACGGCTAGGCGGGTTATCTCACTCACCTGGGGTCCCTTACATTCTTAGAAATTGCGTAACGGTTTTCAAATGATTAAATGACCGGCAGTCGAAAATGTTTTCCTAAAAATTTAAGAAACCGAGACAGCCTATATAATTCAAAACAATTATATGTCGATGAGAAACTGCTAAGCGATGCCGAGGAGGTTTTCTTACTTTCATGAACAACTCTCGGTTTACGCTCAAGTGTCAACATCTATGATTTCATTCACAAACCAACTTCAACTTGTATTACAGAGGGAAGGATATATTGTATAGGAATCGGCCAACTGTTGTGAACAGTGTACATGGTCAACACCAAAAGGGATAGTGTCACCGTCTTTCATCACAAAGAGAGCCACAGAAGATGAACCAATTCATGTTTACTTTATATTTTGCCTTTCGTGACTTATTCCAAAGATGTAAATTTTCCGTGACTCAAGGTGAAATTCCCTGACTTTTCCCAGGCCTTGAAGTAATTAATTTTGGCCTGAGTTTTCCATATCTGTGTCATCTATACCTAAAATTATCATGCTGGAGACAAACCACTATTTCTTTCTGAAATGGCTTCTTGATGACCATAAAAACTATGAAGGACAGGCGCCATCCGCTTTCAGTATCTTTCTCAGGTAAATTCATACCTAAAATCCTCGTCGTCGAGATGTTCAGAGCACACTTTTGTATCAGATGTTACTCTCAAGTCTTTATTTTGATCTTCTTTTATTGTTAAAGTTCATATCTGTTTTAATGGAAACTTAAAAATCGAGACGAGACAAAATTATATTACGGGTCTCTTTACTCATGCAGATTAAAACACAATTCGTGCATCTAGAAGTTGAAGAAATATAGCATGGATACTTAACTTCTGAAGCTTAGGGATGAAAAGACAAATCCGAATTTGTGGAAATATTGAGGCAGTTACAGACGCAATGATAATGATTCAGAGCTGATCTCCACGCTTCGTCGTAACGATGGCCGTGACTGTTGTTTACAATTTCAGACCACGTGACCATTCTGTGACGTATGAGGCTAAAAAGGTCCATCGGCGTTTACATCATGGAATTTCCGTAAAAGATCCCTTTTCTGCTATGACCCCTAATTTCTATTAAAAGAAGCTCAAGGAGAAACGTTTGGTCACGTTTCAGGAACAATGACTTCTCCAGCTTCAGCGATTCAAGAACTTGACTGTTTCAGCGCCTATGTTCGTCTTCCGCATTCTTCAGGTCGTGGATTTGAGATCTACTCAAACCTACATGCTTTATTAGGTCCTCCTGAACCTCAAGATGGGTAAGCTCAAGCCTCAAGATCCTACATTAAGATTGACAACAAATATTAAAGGTCATCCACAATAAAATCAATCGGTCAGACTTCCTTCTCCTGACAATACTTCTCTATTAATAGAAAAAAATAGAATATCGCAGTTCCTTTCATGCTGAAAGGTCCAAGCTCTTGCACTACTTGGTGACGATTTCGCCAGACTTCAATTCGTCTACGGCAGTTTACGTGTCGATTTGCAGGAAGTCAAATCGCGATTTAAGTCGTCTCGTGATACCGGAAATCTTTTACTTGTCGATTCACAGGAAGTCAAATTGCGGTTCAAGTCGTCTCGTGATACCAGAAATCTTTTACTTCTCGATTTACTGGAAGTCAAATCGCGGTTCAAGAGACGGTCTCCTGATACCGGAAATCTAGATTATAATTCATAATAATTCTGCTTGAAAATGTTGTTGGCTCTATTCGATTAAAAAAAAGTGAGGAACAAGGGAGCAGATTCACCGGAGGGCTTGTACGAGCAGCTAGCAGAAAAGAATCATTAACAACTCTGGTATCTTCATTGCGCTGCAAACTTTCCATTTGTGTAGTAAATGGATGATACATAAAAAAAGACATGATATAGCATGCGCCCTGCGCCGATAGTGCCACGGCTTGCACATCTAAAGAAAATTAATTTAAGGTAAAGTTACTTTAATGATTCAACCATTGACCCATACGGGTATGAGGAAGCAAAATACGAAAAGTGAAACCACCACACGTTCAGATATCTGACTTTAAGGAAGCAATGACCTTTGCTGAGTTTCAGTGACCTAAAGCGTTGTTTATCAAAATGTGGATCGAGGAAATAGCAATACCGGCAACATTCCGTCGCGTTTCCGACTGTGGTTAAGGTATAAAAACGATCGTCTCGTAGAAGGAATAGTAGGAAAAGTGGATTCAGTCGCACTGGTGTTTACGAAAGAATTTGAAGAAGAACATTTTAAACATAACGAGGTGAGTTGAACTGATAGTCAATGTACCATCCTGTTTGAAATCTTTTATATTGTCACTTCTTTCGTCAGTATAAAGTTGTAGAATACTTGAACGTATTCAAGTAGTCTTTACTTATTTCTTGGTGACACTTTATGGTTTGACAGGATGTCTTCATGTCGGTCTGCCCTTCTGGTCCTGTGCTTCCTTGTCTATTCATCTCAAGCCTCACCTGTTTACAAAAAGGTAACTTGTTCAATCATAAAACTTTACAGAAATGTTTTTAAAGTGGCAACCCTTCGAAGCAAATATCTCAATTATTTCTGCCCATGACAAAACACTGGATCGATTAATTTACCTCTGAGGCTTTTTGCTGAATTGTACTGTATTCAGTTCTAAATTATGTTGTCTTGATTTTCATCATGATCAGCTCGTGGATGTCGAGGAATATCGTCTCCATATTCATGAATCTGGAGAAGATTTCAACGAGACGCTTAGAATTGACGAGGAGGAACAAACGGAACTGTTTAAGGTTCCAGCCCACAGAAATATTGAAAAGTCTGATATAATGTTTGACTTTAAAATGGTAAGTAATTAGACTTCCTTAAGCAACAGTGTCCTGAGTCTCGGAGCGTTGTCTCTTACTTTCCTTGAGATTGAATGAATTTCATTTCACAACACTGCAAACTTGCTTCCAATCGGTTGGGAACATTATTGTTGTCATGTGATGAGAACAACTTGGGAGAATTTAGCCGGTTGACTGGGGCTGGGGATGAAGTCGCAAGTCACGAAGAAAGAGGACGGAAAGAAACAACTTTTGCTAGCGTGTGACTCAGACTCATTTCCACATACTTGTCTAAGCAATTTGGATGATGTTATGCGTATTATTTGAAAGTATTGACTCTTAGTCGCCATATACTATTTTATTAACCATCAAAACCCTTGTTTCTCTCCCCACAGAATGCAACAATGATTCATTTTCCACTCAAGGGCTTGTGCTTTCTTCTTCCACTGACACGCAGTCAGCCTACACCAAGAAATCTTGCCACGAACTTGCATCAGGTTAGTCAAAATGATCGAAAAGACAAACAAACAAACACTAAATTATGAAAAAGAGGAAAAACTCCTACTTAAGTTTTGCTTTACGCGGTACGCCGTAAGTTGCACTTTTTTTCGTTGATCAGGGTATGTTTTGGCTTGTTCTAGGTTTCCAGCGAAGAAGTCACGACACATAAAGAAACCGTTAGAATTGGTAAAGAAATTACCGACCGTTCGATCCTAAGTGACAGCACAGCAAGACTTTGCTCCAAATCCCGGATCTTCCGTGTAACAGAAATACCGAGCGAAGTTGACGTCACAAAAATGAATCCACCTGCTATACGTGAGTAAACTTTGTAATTATGCGATACCATGGGCATGAAAATCTTTCAAAACTTTATCAAGGCTTAATTATTAAACTCGAAGTACATGTCTTTGGGTCACCTTTGAGTAGCTTATGAGTGAAAGAGCTAATATAATTTATCACTGAGACTCTTTTTCCCGACTTGAAAGTTCCTTTGTGTTCGTTAGAATCAAGAGCATATAAACAGTTTGTATTCTCTATCTGGAATATAAAATTTCTCGAATATCATAGCTGACAGAATTTTCCTTGAAATCAGTATGGCTATCAGAGGTTGGAAATTAAATGATGTCATATGTACCGAGGTAAAACTGAACGTTGCTGAATCTGCGTCACAGCATTTATTGAAACTCGCAAGGAACTTAAACAGTTATCCCTCGGCGGAATGTGTTTTTTTCTTGAGGGTATAACGTTTGAAGATTTATGCAGCAAAAGCCCACCTTTAAAGGGAAGAAGTAGGAATAATTAAGATTATTTTTTTTATGCATGCCATTCGCTCTGACGAAGGACAAACGCTCGAAACGTCAGTTTTTTAAAGTTCTTAACGGTGGCCAATTTATTTTATCAGTTGATAACACTAGATTATCCTTTTTTATGGATCCCACATCAGAGCTTTTCATATTAAGCAACAAGGGCTGACCCAGAGAAAGAGAACAGGAGAACATCATTGACTGCTCAATAAACCTTCTTTACTTTTATTTACAACCAGGACGAGCTCGCAGACAGAGTTATGTCTATGAACTGTGCGACGATGGATTGGACCTCCAGCAAGCGGCCGCTACTTGTCCTTTTCAATTCATACCAAAGTGCAAAGTAGAATACTTGTCGTGTGCTTGGCTTGTAAATTGTCAAGGACTGATGGGTATGGCATTTAGAAAGCGTGTTTCAGCTGATAATTATATAGCAACCAGCCGAGCTAACGTTAGGACTAATATTCACATTGGAGGCAGTAGAAAAGTCACATGCCTACCCACTCACCTACAGTACTCAATTGTTTGTTGTGGTTACTATTGTGACACTTGACTTAGATTTATAAAGCTGACAGGTCCATGTTTTCCTTATTATAAAACAACTGCTCGAAAATAAATCACTGTAAATTTCATTTGTAAATAAAGTTTTTGTTTCCAAGATCTTGTTAATGATTCTTATAAATACAACAAATTTTAGTTTACAGTGGTGAAAAGAAATGTGGTATTTAATATGGTACCTAAGTCGATTAACTCATGCTTCCCATTAGCTTTTTCAAGTTAACAGACGCTAATCCTTTTTTTTTGGGGGGGGGGGGGGGGGGAGTTATGAGGTCGATACTGAAGTAAATATGATAGTATGAGTACTCTGGTAAGCGGACGGCTCTTTTTATGGTCCAAAACATTTGGGGGGAAGTTATGAAGTCGATACCTAGGTAAATATAACAAATATACTTAGTATGACACTCTCGTAAGAAGACAGCTCTTTTTATCGTCCAAATATTTTTCAATACCCTTTTTTTTCCTCCCAGACAAACTCTGTATTTACACATTCCCGCAAGCAAACACTCTCGTAAGCGGAAGCAGACACTTTTAAAAGGAAAAATTGCATTTTTCTTTTGTTTACGCTCTCTCCCAAGCGGACACCCTAAGCATAATAAGTGACTCTAGGCAATGCAATTTGTCTTGAATTTTCAAATCAAAAAGAATATAATCTTTGACAGAGCAACAAAACGGAGAGGACCGGTTTTTGTTAATCTCCATTTGCCCGCAGGAAAGCAAGCTATCCGTTCGTTTGACATGAACAAAAGTCCGATATAACATTTGTAGTGGTCCTGTTCGTCATAGTCTACTTTCCTTCTTTTCCCGTATGGGGAGACCCACCCTTTATTTCTTTGGTGTCTATTTACGGGAATAATTATCGTAGGCGGACAGCACTACTTACAGAAACTCTTCGTGGAGGGAGTGATGCTAACAATAAAAATCGGTCCTTGGCCCAATACATGACCCGATGAATTCCGGTGCCGCTTCCTGTTTGTTTCGGAGTATCATGGTAGTTCAACATTCGCACTCGATACACATTTGAGTTCTCTTCTTTTGTTTCTGGGTAATAACTACTAGCGCATTATGTTTACACTTCTTGCCGTGATATTACAGGAGATAGCAGAAGACGATGAACATCCTACAATCATTTCAGGATTGCGCGCGATTAAAAAAATTTCTTGTTGAAATATCTTAGCAGGTGTGATCGGCGCATCATGAAACTCTGAAGAAAAATTTCTTCTTTGAAGAGAGATTGTAACCAAATATATCGCCTCTTTTTTCCTCTTGGTTCTAAGTTCTCACCATCACACTTGGTACCACTTAGACTCAATGTTGAAAAGTCTTCCTTACATTTACATCCCTGTCAGGGATGCGCTTTCAAGATGCAAATATTTTGTTTTTCGAGGGATGGGTCCGCAAAGCTTAAGGTAGCTAAAACCAAACTCTGGAGGGAACTGCAGGACTATCAGCCAATATGAATTTGAAGTTTGTGTCCCTGCCTGATTTAAGAGATTTTGGTGTGGTCTATAAACCGTATTATTATATGGCAAGGTAGCCCTGGGTCTTACTGTGGTTGGTTCTTAATCGGTCGGGATTTTGCCATCCAAAACGGTCATAAACCGTGTATTTATATTCTCGAAAACCGACAAAATCAAAATTTGTAGCTAAAAAATTGCGAAAAAGAAACCCGTAAATATCATTCTCATTTTCTGTAAGAAAAAAAAAAACTGGGAAACAAGTCATGCAAATTTTATCATGATCTGGAAACCTCTGAAAGAAGCAAAGGCGAAAGCCAAGAGGCAATTTACGATTTAATCAACGAACAGAAAGGCTTTGAGACAAGCAAGAAGATGCTTAATGATATGAACACTCTTGTCCACTACATAGATGCAAATGAAATGCAAAGCCAAAGAATTAAAGCCCTAACTGCATCCGACCTTGACCACCTTTGCCGATTTTTTTTTTCATGAAAATACGCAGGAAAAATGGAGAAGAGTAAGGCAAGCCAGCAACAGCATTTTCGGTTTTCAGCGATGCTTAAACGAGAGGAAAAATTCATTCGACCCAGTTAAGGACAACGAGATTGAAAAATCGAGAATGGTACTAGCTGCGAATCGGAGTATAAGTACAAGGCGCTTAGGCGATTGACGAAAGCGAAGAAATCCTCTCTTTGAAGCAGGAGAATTCGGCAACTCCAATCCAGTTAAGCCCAGTTGCACTTCATGTCGGTTTCCGAGCTAAAGAAGAAAACCTTTTCAAAAGTCGTGCAAGCTTTTTCTTCGAAAACTTCAAAAACAAGAAGACGTACCGAAAGTAGAGATGTATCACGACCCCAAAAAGCTGCAGGGCCGAAAAAGCGGCCGATAACGACCGAAGTTTCTCATTTCGGAGACATTCTACGCTTCGAAAACAAAAGGATGCACCGAAAGTAAAGAAAAGGGTTCACGAAAGCGTTACAGTTTCCTTCGATTCGAAACCCGAATGCACCGAAAAACAACGGAAAATTACCTCGTTACTACTTCAGTGAAACGGATGCACCTGACTAAGAAGTCGCTGTCCAACATTTCCGTGAGCGATTTGCAGTCCGGTATAGTAAGTTTGACAGGTTCTGAGTTTGAATCACTGCATCACATGGCGCCACATTTTACGAACTACAGCGATCCATTGCGGTCAGCGGGATTTACGCAAGTTTTGACGAGGAGAGGAAACGAAATTAAGAGATCCTCGCAGCTAAGAACACTACTGAACTAGTAGTTGAAAATAGGACCTGAAAAAATTTCAGGCCCGCACGGGATTTGAACTTATGACCTCTGCAATACCGGTGCAGCGCTCTACCAATTGAGCTGACAAGCCAACTGAGAGCTGGTCAATGTGTTGGGTCCAAATAAACCGTCCAAGTGATGAATGATGATTTAAGATATATGAAATTCATATATTTACACTGCGGTGAAGAAACGAAATTAAGAGATCCTCGCAGCTAAGAACACTACTGAACTAGTAGTTGAAAATTGAGGAGAGGAAAGTTAAAGCGAACGTGCTCGCTTAATAGACACGATAAACGCGAGTCAAAGATACGAGGGTTTATGGAGAGACGATGCAGCCTTGAAGGGGACAGAGCTGTAAGGATTGCAAGCCAAAGGCCTGGCTAATGGTTGGAGAGAGAAAGAGAGAGAGAGGGAGGGGGTTGGTTAGTGTCTCTCAGTGTCTCGAGTAGAACTCCAATATCTCTTCTCCCCCTCCCTCCCTGACGTGGAAACTTTCGCAAAAAATTGGTTTCGGAGTTGAGGTGAGTTTTTGAGCCCTCTGTCATCTCAACTTTTTGGCCTGTCTTTGTTTGGAGAACAAGACTTTCGGAAATTTTACTTACAGCCAAATGTTGTGTTTGATTTGATAAATTTATTATATATCTATTGCTAGAGCTAACTCGGAAAATTGCTTTTACAGCCAGTGGATTTGTTTGTCTTTCATTTTAGTCTCTAGGCAGAAAGACATCCACGTATGACCATGATTCAAAGCAGTGTGTCATGTTGAACCTCCTACCCCATGATGAAAAAATTCGGCTTTCTTCCTCAAATGTTTATGACGGCAAATCTGAAGTTCGGGCGTTTTCCTAATCAATATAATATGGCTAAATACTGTTATGTGGTTTTCAGGTAAAGTTTGATTTCACTTTGCTGGATAAGGGCTGAGATAAGGAACTCCTTTTCAAATAGACGTCAACGAGCTAGAAGCAACTTGGCATTGAAATACAGGTAGCGGAATTCTTTCCCCACACCTCACTTACAAGCTGGGATTCAATATTGTCGGAGTCAGAGACGGGGTCGTTATCGGGAGCGCTAAGCGAGTCGCATATTTATTCTTTTTAAACTTGACGAAATTCTTTCCGAAAAAACCCGAATGATTTAGGGCTGTAAATACGGCAAGATCTTCCATAAACTGAACAATTTTTGAGCGACTAAATGGTAGTTAAAATGGAGGTGATGCAAATTAAAGAGAGATGCCTCACCGAAACATTTGCATTTGCGTAAGGATAAAGGTGATTTAAAAGGCTTCCAAACAAACTTTGAAACATTATTTTTACAAGTATCTGTCATAATCTGACACCTGTCAATTAGAGAGCGCGTAGGAAAAATTGAACATTTGAAAAACATCGAACAAATATTGAACAAAAAGAACATTTGAAAAACATCGGAACTAGTTTGGTAAGGACTGTCACAACAATATTTTCTTCAAAAAACATTTAATGATCTTACGGAAAGTATTATTCACTCTAATCGACGATTCATTCATGTACGAAGATTTACCTCTGTTCATTAAGTAAACGGCGAGGAAAGTAATTGTAAGTAACTTCAAATTTGTTATTTTGAAGTTGAGAGTTAGCGCTTTTGTTTGCTGCAATGGCGTGTGTAAATCTGACCTTTCCTCCACAAAAACTAAATTCGAATGGCACACTCCAGCGAGACACAAGGGGATTTAATGCGGCCTTTTCTCAATAAATTCCTTCAGTATCTGTTGTGCAATTTACGTTGCAAACGTCCAAATTTAAGGGACTCGGAAAGACTCACCGAGAGCGTATATTTATTGTAGAACTGAATTTAAGTTCGCTCGCTCTTTCACTACGAACAAGTTGTTTGAGAAAATTCAGATATTAAATGAATGAAAGTTCCATCGTTCAGTTCTACTCTAACCAAATACCTCACGTTTTAACTTTCTAGGTACTTTTTGTGAACGCTTAAAATTAATTGCAGACGGTTTTTAGGGCGCTTGTCAACCAACGTAATGACACTATTGCTTAAACAAATTCATTCTGAAACAAATATTTTTCTGTCAATCAAAGTGATTTGAGAGAGAGAAAAGAGAAGATTCATAAGTTATTTATCGGCTTGAGGTAGTGACCAACGTGTTTGCTTAGAAATACTGCCCAGCCGGATAAATCAGATATATTTATGAAAAATGGCAACGAAATTTGGGATGTACTCGGCGATTCACGAAACGTTACCATGGTCCGTGGGCAGAGATAGGAAAATACTGACCGGGTAAAGAACCAATCAGATTGCAAGATTCGTTACCGTGCCCTCTTAAAAAAAAAACCATATTCCGGGTTCCCTTATATTACTCATGCAGATTAAAACACAAATTTGTGAGTTTAGTAGTTGAAGAAATATTGCATTGATAATTAACTTCTGAAGCTTAGGATCCGCAGGGTATTTATGAAAAGATAAATCCGAACTTGTAGAATATTATGTCAGTTACAGACGCAACGATAGGGAACTGTTCTCTACGCTTCGTGGTTAATTTACTATCGTAGTAACGACTTGTTTACCATTTCAGACCACGTGACCAATGTGTGACGTATAAGGCTAAAAAGGTCTATTGGTGTTTACACCATGGAATTTCCGTACATGATCGCTTCTCTGTCACGACTCTTAATTTCTATTAATAGCTCAAGGAAAAGCGTTTGGTCACGTTTCAGGAACAAAGACATCTCCAGCTTCAGCAATTTAAGAACTTGACTATTTCAGCGCCAGTGCCCGTCTTCCGAATTCTTTCGGTCGTGGGTTTGAGATCCATTCAAACCTAAAAGCTTTTAGGCGATGATCCTTCATCTATCACATATTCGATTTAAAAGAACTTGGGAATGAGGTGAGCAGATTCACCCGAGGGCTTGTACGAGCAGCTAGCAGAAAAGAATCATTAACAACTCTAGCGTCTTCAGTGCGCTGCAAACTTCCCATCTGCATAATAAATGAATGATGTATAGAAAAATATGAGATAAAGCATGCGGTCTGCGCTGATATTGCGCCTATCTACTTACGCGGTGAACGAGAAAGGTTCAAGTGAACTTTTCTGTGAATCGAGTGAGACGGGTCGACTCTCCGTACAGCAACAATGTAATTTTACTACTGTTTGTATGCGTAAGCCTTGCTGAGATGATAGATGGACAATAAAAAAGTTTCGTTCCTGTTGGACTGAAGGAAGTAGTGTCATTGTTCAACGCGCTAAAAGCTTGATCAAAGGATTCTTGTTATTTAGAAGAATAAAAGCCTAAAGTTGAAAACGTGATCAGCTGCGATTGCATTTCTAAAGAAAATAACAATGTCTCGCTGCATGAGCTCTGGTGGCTCTAAGAAGCCTATTCATGCTCTGCCTTGCGTATCTAAAGAAAATAACAATGTCCCGATGCATGAGCTCTGGTGGTTCTAAGAAGTCTATTCATGCTCTGCCTTGCGTATCTAAAGAAAATAACAATTTCCCATTGCATGTGTTCTGGTGGTTCTGAGAAGTCTAGTCATTCCATGCCTTGTACATCTAGGGAAAATTATTTTGAGGTAAAGTTACCTCAATAACTCAACTACTGACCCATTGGGACCTCAGCAAGCAAAATAAGAATTAAAAGTGAAACTACCTCACGTTCAGATATCAGGCTTTGCTGAGATCTGGTGACCTACAGCGTTGTTTATAAATATATGGACTGAGGAAATAGCAATACCGGCAACATTCCGTCGCGTTTCTGACTGTGATGAAGGTATAAAAATGATCGTCTCGTTGAGGAATAGTACTGAGAAAAAGTGGTTTCAGTTTTACAGGTGTTTACGAAAGAATTTGAAGAGAAACATTTTAAACATAACGAGGTGAGCTGAAGTGATAGTCAATGTACCATCCTGTTTGAAATCTTTGATATTGTCACTTCTTTCCTTAGTATAAAGTTGTTGAATACTTGAACCTATTCGCGTAGTCTTTACTTATTTCTTGGTGACACTTCATGGTTTGACAGGATGTCTTCATGTCTGTTTGCCCTTCTGGTCCTGTGTTTCCTTGTCTATTCATCTCAAGCCTCGCCTGTCTACAAGAAGGTAACTTGTTAAATCCTAAAACTTTACGGAAATGTTTTAAATTTAGCAACGGTTCGAAGCTAGGCAATAAAACTTTAAATTTTCAGTGAATCGAAAACACTGTGTTATTTCCAATTTTTGAGACGCGTTATAATCCTAACTGTCGGTTAGTTGATCGGTAACTAGCTAACCGATGCGAAATCAATTTTTCGATGATCAATCAGGTTATTCCCAGAGTGTTGTTTTTCTTCTTTCCTTCTTCTTTTGTTTATCGAGTTGATTCTAGACTTCTCAATTATTTCTGCCAATCGCAAAACACTGGTGTGATTGATTTACCTCTAAGGCTTTTTGCTGAATTGTACTGCGTTCAGTTCTAAACTATGTTGTCTCTATTTTCATTATCATCAGCACGTAGATGTGGAGGAATATCGCCTCCATATTCATGAATCTGGAGAAGAGTTCAACGAGACGCTTACAATTGATGAGGAGGAACAAACGGAATTGTTTAAGGTTCCAGCCCACAGAAATATTGAAAAGTCTGATATAATGTTTGACTTTAAAATGGTAAGTAATTAGACTTCCTTAAGCAACAGTGTCCTGAGTCTCAGAGCGTTGTCGCTTACTTTCCTTGGGATTGAATGAATTTCATTTCACTAAGCTGCAAACTTGCTTCCAATCGGTAATGAACACTATTGTGGTCATGTGATGAGACAACTTGGAAGAATTTAGCCGGTTGATTGGGGCTGGGGATGAAGTCGCGATTCACGAAGAAAGAGGACGGAAAGGAACAACTTTTGCTAGCGTGTGACTCAGACTCATTTCGACATACTTGTCAAAGCAATTGATAAAATTGGGATGATTTTATGCCTATTATTTGAAAGTATTGACTCTAAGTCGCCATGTACTATTTTATTAATAATCATAACTCTTGTTTCTCTCCCCACAGAATGTAACAATGATTCATTTTCCACTCAAGGGCTTGTGCTTTCTTCTTCCACTGACACGCAGTCAGCCTACACCAAGAAACCTTGCCGCGAACTTGCATCAGGTTAATCAAAATGATCGAAAAGACAAACAAACACACACTAAACTATAAAAAGAGGGAAAATTACGCCAAGTAAAACTCCTACTTAAGTTTTGCTTTACGCGGTACGCCGTAAGTCGCACTTTATTTTGTTGATCTGGGTATGTTTTGGTTTGTTCTAGGTTTCCAGCGATGAAGTCACGACACATAAAGAAACCGTCAGAATTGGTAAAGAAATTAGCGATCGTTCGATCCTAAGTAACAGCACAGCAAGACTTTGCTCCAAATCCCGGATCTTCCGTGTAACAGAAATACAGAGCGGAGTTAAGGTCACAAGTACGAAGCTACCTGTATTACGTGAGTAAACTTTATATAATTATGCGATACCATGGGTATGAAAATCTTTCAAAACTAGAGAAGTACATATCTTCGGGTCACCTTTGAGAAGCTTACGAGTAAGAGCTGATCAGTTTCACTGAAAGCCTTTTTCCCGGCTTGAAATTTCCTTTGCGTTCATTAGAATCAAGAGCATATAGACAGTTTATATTCTCTTTATAGAATATAAAATTTCTCGAATATCATAGCTGACGGTGCCATGAATTTTCCTCGAAATCAGGATGGCTATCAGTGGTAGAAAATTAATTGATGTTACATATACCGAAGTAAAACTAAACTTTGCTGAATCTGCGTCACAACATTTATTGAAACTTGCAAGGAACTTGAACGTTATCCCTCGGCGTAATGTGTTTTTTTCTTGAGGGTATAAGGTTTGAAGATTTATGCAGCAAAAGCCCATCTTTCGAGGGAAGAAGAAGATTTTTTAAGATTTTTTTTACGCATGCCATTCGCTCTGACGAAGGGCTGACCCAGAGAAAGAGAACAGGAGAACATCGTTGACGGCTCAGTAAACCTTCTTTACTTTTGTTCACAACAAGGGCGAGCTCGCAGACAGAATTACCAATTTCAACAGTGCGACGATGGATTGAACCTCCAGCAAGCGGTCGTTACTTGTCCTGGTAAATTCATGCCAAAGTGCGAAGTAAAATACTTGTCGTGTGCTTGGCTCGTAAGTTGTCCGGGATTGATGGGTATGGCATTCAAAGAGCATGATTCAGCTGTTAGGTATATAGCAATTAACTATAATTACCAGAAACTTAACGGCGATAAAGGCAGTAAAACAGAAGTAAAATGTTTTCCCACTCACCTAGAGTACTCAGTTGTTTGTTGTAGTTACTATTGTAACGCTTGACTTAGATTTATTAAGCTGACAGGTCCATGTTTTCTTTATTAAAAAACAACTGCTGGAAAATAAAACAACTGTAAATTTCATTTGTAAAATAAAGTTTTTTTTTCCAACATCTTGTTAATGATTTTTATAAATGCAACAAACTTTAATTTATAGTGGTGAAAAGAAATGTAGTATTTAATATGGTATTTAAGTCGATTGACTCATGCTTCCCATCAGATTTATCAAGTTTTTTTTTTTGTGGGGGGGGGGGGGAATTATGAGGTCGATACTTAGGTAAATATGATAGTATGACACTCTGGTAAGCGGACGGCTCTTTTTATGGTCCAAAACATTTGGGGGAAGTTATGAAGTCGATACTTAATTAAATATAACAAATATACTTAGGTATGACACTCTCGTAAGAAGACAGCTCTTTTTATGGTCCAAATATTTTTCAATACCCTTTTTTTTCCTCCCAGACAAACTCTGTATTTACACTTTCCCGCAAACAGACACTCTCGTAAGCGGACGCAGACACTTTTAAAAGGAAAAATTGGATTTTTCTTTCGTTTATGTTCTCTACCAAGTGGACACCCTAAGCATAATAAGTGACTCTAGGCAATGCAATTTGTCGTGAATTTTCAAATCAAAAAGAATTTAATCTTTGACAGAGCAACAAAACGGAGAGGACCGGTTTTTGTTAATCCCCATTTGCCGCAGGAAAGCAAGCTCTCCGTTCGTTTGACATGAACAAGAGTCCGATATAATGTTTGTAGTGGTCCTGTTCGTCATGGGCTACTTTCCTTTTTTTCCCGTATGGGGAGACCCACCCTTTATTTCTTTGGTGTCTGTTTACGGGAATAATTATCGTGGGCGGACAGCACTACTTACAGAAACTCTTTGTGGAGAGAGTGATGCTAACAATAAAAATCGGTCCTTGGGCCAATGTATGACCCGATGAATCCCGGTGCCACTTCCTGTTTGTCTTGGAGTATCATGGTAGTTCAACATTCGCACTCGATACACATTTGAGTTCTCTTCTTTTGTTTCTGGGTAGTAACTACTAGCGCATTATGTTTACACTTCTTGCCGTGATATTACAGGAGATAACAGAAGACGATAAACATCTCACAATCATTTCAGGATTGCGCGCGATTAAAAAAAATTTCTTGTTGAAATATGTTAGCAGGTGTGATCGGCGCATCATGAAACTCTGAAGAAAAATTTCTTCTTTGAAGAGAGATTGTAACCAAATATATCGCCTCTTTTTTCCTCTTGGTTCTAAGTTCTCACCATCATACTTGGTACCACTTAGACTCAATGTTGAGAAGTCTTCCTTACATGTACATCCCTGTCAGGGATGCGCCTTTAAGATGCAAATATTTTGTTTTTCGAGGGATGGGTCGGCAAAGCTAAAGGTAGCTAAAACCAAACTCTGGAGGGAACTGCAGGACTATCAGCCAATATGAATTTGAAGTTTGTGTCCCTGCCTGATTTCAGAGATTTTGGTGTGGTCTATAGACCGTATTATTATATGGCAAGGTAGCCCTGGGCCTTACTGTGATTGGTTCTTAATCGGTCGGGATTTTGCCATCCAAAACGGTCATAAACCGTGTATTTATATTCTCGAAAACCGACAAAATCAAAATTTGTAGCTAAAAAATTGCGAAAAAGAAACCCGTAAATATCATTCTCATTCTCTGTAAGAAATTAAAAAAAACTAGGAAACAAGTCCTGCAAACTTTATTATGATCTGGAAACCTCTGAAAGAAGCAAAGGCGAAAGCCAAGAGGCTATTTACGATTTCATTAACGAACAGAAAGGCTTTGAGACAAGCAAGAAGATGCTTAATGATATGAACACTCTTGTCCACTACATAGATGCAAATGAAATGAAAAGCCAAAGAATTAAAGGCCTAACTGCATCCGACCTTGACCACCTTTGTCAATTTTTTTTCATGAAAATACGCAGGAAAAATGGAGAAGAGTACGGCAAGCCAGCAACAGTATTTTCGGTTTTCAGCGATGCTTAAACGAGAGGAAAAATTCATTCAACCTAGTTAAGAACAACGAGTTTGAAAAATCAAGAATTGTACAAGCTGCGAATCGGAGTACAAGTATAAGGCGCTTAGGCGATTGACGAAAGCGAAGAAGAACCTCTTTTTGAAGCAGTAGAATTCGGCAATTCCAATCCAGTTAAGTGTAGTTGCGCTAAATCTCGGTTTCCGAGCTGAAGAAGAAAACTCTCAGTTATGATTTATTAACGCTGAAATAATTTCTTTTCAAACTCATTGAAGCTTTGTCTTTTCGAGTTGCTCACGTCATCAAAAACATGTCACGGTGGAAACCCTTTAAATTCAAGAGACCGGAAGTGCTTTTTATATATAAAATAAACATGTTTGGTCCGAGTGCCATTTGATAAATTACCTACTAACCTTGCTTGCTCGAGCCCTACTGGGGAATGTTGGCTCTCGGTTGCTTTTAGTACTTCAACGACCTCGGGCCATATTTCCCAGTACGGCCCCAGCGCTCAGTTAGTAAAAGTTAATATTGATCTCGAACTGCCGTTTTTCTGAGATAAGGTTTCATATGATTTAAAAGCCCATGAGTGTAAATTGAAAATATCAGTCAATCATGCATATTATCAAAGATTTGATAGTGGGAAGATGTTTAAAATAGCAGTACTTTCAATACATAGCTAAAGATATATTATTAACCTCAACTGTGCAAATTTCTTAACATGCAAAGAGTATAAGAACGATACTTATCAAAATTTAAAAACCTTTGAAAGCACTGTCTAACACATACCGAGGCTGATGAAATTAGAAGATCCTCGCAGCTAAGAACACTACTGAAACTAGTAGTTGTAAGTAGGACCTGAAAAAAATTTCAGGCCCGTACGGGATTTGAACAATACCGGTGCAGCGCTCTACCAATTGAGCTAACAAGCCAACTGGGAGCTGGTCAATGAATTGGGTACAAACATACCGAGGCATTGGGCTTTTACTCTACATTCAAATTTTGATTTCAGTTTTAGATTAGATAACTCAAGATTATCTTTACAACATAATCTTTGAATCAGCTCCTTTATGTAAATAACGTACCGAAATCCTCCTCTTGCAAATAGACGTTTAACGCCTTAGCACTATACCAACGTTACCCAAATTGCGGTACCCTTTGAACGGTGATATTTAACTTTTGTTATCAGTTGATCCAATCCATACAATAGTGGTTTCAGGCTTCTTCAACATTCCATTTTTCCACGAGAATTGTCTCCTCAATCGCTTGATGTACATTGTGAACGTGGAATAATATGATCCGACAAAATGATCTGCATAAGCGCAAATTAGCTGCTCGCACAAGCCCAGTATGTCTTGAACAATAGCAGGACCTTCATTTTCAAAGCGTAGCTCATTGAGAAAATCCTCAGGAAAAAATAAATTATATCCTTCGTCACTGAAGGGCTTAAACCAATCCTTGTTTTGTTCGTCGGTTGCTATATAAAGAGTTTTAGTTAAGTTGAGAGCATTACGCGCCTTTAAACGATTTAGCCAGAATTCTTGCTTCACGCCAGAGCTGGAAGGATGATCTGTCCTTCGAACGTGAATTGCGCTGAAAGGGCGACCTATCATTTGCAAGACTGTCTTGACCCGTTTGCGAATATCGGGCGCAAAATGAATAAATCTTATTATCCAATCATGAATGCTTAAAACAGCATGCTTATCGAAAAATAACAATTCCCTGTTGTACAAAGATCCTTCGGAAAAATATAGCATTTCTTCCTGTTTGTCCGACAGTTCGTCCCTTATTCCCCACACAGGTCGAAAACTTGAATTGCCAAACTGTTTCAATTCTTCCCTGCAGATTCGACGATAAAGGGGTAGGTCACCAGGATTTGGCAAATTCGAGTTTATGTGCTGTTGGAGAAGAGTCCAGTTTTCATTATCCGTCTTTTTGGGAATCGCATCAACCCAAATCCCTACCAGACCGTTGTGACAAACTTGTCTCCAGGTTAAGTGATGGTAGTCTTTTACGAACTGTTGATGACTAGAAATGACTTCCTTGACTGGAAGTAGTTTAGACAACTCTTTCAGGTCAATGACTTTAGACAGTGGTAGCAACTTGTTTGCGGGTAGCA